TTCATGGTTACGTGTCGGAATTAGAATGGAGGAACGGAACTATGCGGGGGCGCTTTTCTATTGGGGGTTATCTTCGGGTTGATTGTCTTATTCTATTATCGTTATCTCATTAGTATTAGAAAGCGGGCCTTGGTATAGGGTCCAATATGTATAAATAGGGAAGGATTCCGCCTCGTCTTAGTGGCATCATCAGTCACTCAGCGAGCGGAATCCGGTTTACAATATTACAAGTTTAAAAGCTACAGAATTATCGCTTAGCATTGGCATTTCCCCAAACACCCACCCCAACAATGAATCCCTGATCGAGCTCCTCCCATACAGAGAAGCAAATATCAAAGGGACAGGTCTACACCGAATCGCTTCCCTCCTATTCCCATATCAAACCCCCGGAAATGCGAGAGACAAGTGGAATCAAAATAAACTACTACGCGACCACCTGTTGGAAGAATGGAATACACAACCAATACCGGACTACCATCACCGGGGGGAGTTCCGCCCCCCTTCCAAGATTGCGAAACTCACCCTAACGGAGGCGAAAAAAGTTTTTCGAATCCGGTGCCAAACTACCCGAATCGATAAACACGCGGTATATACAGACCCCGAACCATGCCAGTGTGGTATGGAAAACTCAGCGAAACACACACTTATGGAATGCCCATCGTGGGCTCGAATCCGTGCCCCCCTGATAGAAAAGATCCCCGGAGCGATGACCTGGGAAAACTGGATGTTTACAAACTTGAAAACGGACCTTATCTCACAATTTGCAAAAAACTCTCAACTCTCGAAGTGGTACGAGTCGGCGGAAGCGGAGGTGGATCTAGAAGAGGGGATGGAAGAAAATGATTAGGGACGGGATTAGGAAAGGGCGGTTTCCTTTTACCTTTTTAACTTTGGTTTCACTTTGTTTTGATTGATCCAGCGCCCGAGTTCGTTGAGATATGTTTTTTCTCCTTGTCGTTGGGTTGTTTCTGGTTGAGTGTCGTTCTGGAATTTCCTTATTTCTTGTTGATGTTCGTTCGTGTTCGCTTTTGTTCTTGTTTGTTTGTTTGCGTTTGTTGTTTTCTTTCCTTTCGTTCTTTTTGTTTGGTTTGTGTTTTAGGCGGTCGGGTCGGCGTGCGATAAGTCTTGTACTTCAAAGCAATATAAGTTTCTTCTTCTTCTTCTGCATTCTACTCGCTTACCTCTGGCTCGCGATAGGATTTCTTCCCCCCCGAGATGGAGTTATACTGATTCTCGAATTGCTTCGGTCCCTGAACTTCCCTCGCTCGACACCCCCCATTCTTTGCTCGTTCGGTGCCCTCACGGGATGCGTCCACCGTTCACCCCTCGCCAAACCAGCGGCTACTCTCGAAAGCCGCCTTCGCCCCTCCTTACTTTCACTTATCGCACGAGTGATCCCACACGTCGGGTACGCACACTGTCAGTAATCTCCAGTCAGCGAGAACCTACTGCCAAAGCGCTCGACAGCCCGCGAAGTTAGCGACCTCTCGGTCGCGAAACTATCGTCAAATTTTTACCCGAGGTCCCGTGACCTTACCCCTCTTTATCGGCCTTAACCAGGCCACCCACTTTTTAACCGAGGCGGCCCGCTCCCCTCACCCCAACCCAACCGGTCTCCGAGACCACCCTCAATACAACACGGTCGGCACTTTCGATTGCGACCCCCATACATACTGAGCCTTCGGCTCAACCCTTTTGCATGTCCCCTCCAGAGGACACCACTTCAAATACGACTCGGGCACAGTCTTTAGCCGTTGCTCCAGGGACCGACGACCCCACCCATTCTTACTTGACCTACCGGTCACCACTCCTCAACTCCTCGCTGCCTGACAACCAGACGCCCGAGGACCCACTCTTACACCACCCCCCTCGCTTCCACCCTGACGCTGTTGCGGTTGGCTTCTCCTGCCTTCGTGCGCGTGGTTTCCCAGTCCTGTTAAGGTTTGTCCACAGATATGACATCGGGAACGTTGGTAATGATATCGTTTCGATTGAACACTACGTTTAGGATTGTGCTCGCTTATGTAGTTGACGGAGAAGATTGGGGTTCATTCTTACTACGGGGAGGTTTCTTTGTTGTCGCTTAGATTCTGCTTACCTGTACCACTTGTTATTTGCGCCCTCTTCGTGCATCGTTTACTTTTATTTTATGTACGTAGTTCTCGTAGCTGCGGTAGTTAGTTTTTGTACTTTGTTTTTGCTTTCGGGTTAGTCGGTGGAGGTTGTAGTCGGGTAGTTAGGTGTGCGATAAGCTTCGGCTTCTAAGCAATATAACTTTCTTCTTCTTCTTCTTCTGTATTCTACTTGCTCGCTAAGGCTCGCAAAGAACTCCCTGATAACAAACCTCGCTTTAAAAACATTTTATTTTATTCCCTTCGGTTTACCCTGATATACCATACCAGGCTGAGCCACTTCGTCCCCGATCGTACGGTCGCGTTTTGTTGTTACAAGCGAAAGAAACCTACGAAAACAGGCTTCCAGCGAAGAATTCTCCAGCCTTGACCTCCCGAAAGGAAGGAAAAGAAACCTATCCGAAACATCACTCTACACCGCCAGAAGGACCGGACATTCAGTCATGTCGCAGCAAGCTTCGCTTCAGTCCTTTTTCACCCAGTCTTTCCAGCAAGGGACAGCCTCCTCGCAGAACAGGAACACTCAGGATCCCGACCCAACCCCATCCGGAGCTTAGGAACAGGAATTCTCCTCGACCTTTGCAACAGAATCCGACTACAACGACCCCTACCAACCGAGAGTCGACTACCTCTACCCGAGCATTGTCCCCCAGGACACGCACACCCAGACGGACCTGAACTACATTACCTGGGCCATCAGACATGCCACCAGCCGGATCTGCCCGCCCTCTGACAGGATTGAAATCCTCGAAGAACAAACGACTACACTCCGGAGAACAGTGGACACACTGAGACATCAAATTGAGGCGCAGACAAGCATGATCACGAATATGCACTCGGCGATCCACGCGCTCCTCAATAAACAGCCACAACCGCAGCAACCGCAGCAACCGCAACAACAGCAACAACAGCAACAACAGCAACAACAGCGGAAACAACAACCGCAGGGACAGAGAATGCCCCCTCCAGCGGTCCCTCAAACAATTCCCCAAGCAGCGCCTCAGGCAGCTCCTCAGGCCCCCCCACCCGCACCCCCCCAACAAGCCCCACCCCGTGGATGGAAAGCAGGCACCTGGGCCGCCGTGGCCTCGGCACCCGGTCCTGCTCAAGGAAGTTTCCAGGTTGTTGAGAGAAGAAAGAAGTCCGCAAAGCCAAAAGCGGACCCCCTCTTCAAGCCAGAATATACCAAAATCAACAGAGAAATCATCGTTGAAACCACTGCTCCATCCGACGTCAATCCCTCCGAGATCAGGACCCTAGTCAATGCAAGAATTCAGGACGAATCCTGCCACTTCATCTCAGCAAGGAGAACACCCAAGGATAATTTTATCCTGGAAACTAAGTTTGTCACCCCAGCAACAAAGGCAATGGAATACGCCAAAGAAATTGAGGAGGCTCTCCTCACCCTACAAGTACCAGTCGCCATCATCCGGGCAAACTCCAAATGGTCAAAGTTCCTCATTCACGGAATCCCCACAACGGTCGGAGAAGGCGCCGAGGCAGGACAACTGGTAGCATCCGAAATTAGAAGCAACTATGGGGAGAACTTCCAACTTGCCCAGGTTCCCCGCTGGATATCCAGGGCAGAAACTCGAATGGAGAAAACCCACTCATCGATGGTTATCGCGCTCCCAGGACAAATCACAATGGAAACACTAGGAGTTAAATTCCTATCTCTCTTCAACCGAAGCTGCCATATCGAGGCCTTCCTCCCAACCTTCCCGGATACTCAGTGTGCAAAGTGCCTCGAATACGGCCACCGCCAAGAGAAATGTAAGAACAATGGGAAATGCGGCCATTGCGCCGGAGATCACCTCACCAGTTTCCACCCATGCAATCAATGCCAGGGAGGATATAGATGCACCCATACCCCAATCAGATGTCTGAACTGTAAAGGAATCCATAAGGCTTCCGACCCAGCATGCCCTGAAAGAGTTAAACGCCGATTCCTCAACAAAGGAAAGGAAAACGCCCCACCCGCCCAAGACCCACCCGCCGCACCCGCCCAAGAGCCACTTTTAATAATCCAAGTACCAGCCACCGCCCCGGTCGAAGCCACACCCGTTCCCGAAGACGACCAACACATGTCGAATAATGCCTAGGCCTCGAACAACCGCGCTCGCACACCAACTTAACTGTGCACGGAGCGAACTAATCACCAAGGCGGCGGTGGAAGAAGCAGAAACAGACTCGAGCATTTATTTCCTACTATTACAAGAACCATGGACCTCAACAGAGGGATATCCACCAGAATCAAATCTCTTTTACCTTTTTACAGCCAGCAATACCAATACGAAATGCGCAACATATGTCCGCAAACATGCCAACCTGAAACCAAAACACCACTATACACATGATAACTTCATAGTATCGATTACGGTAGAAATCCAAACCAAGAAAACCCAAATCCTAAACATATACTACCCAGGCCGAAGTGGCCCCTTCGCTCAAATAGCAAGTACAATCCAAACCCTTGATAACTGTCTAGTAATGGGAGACTTCAACTGCCACCACCAAATGTGGTACGGAGTAAATTCACATGAATATAGAAACAACATTCGAGCAGACCGCGTCAACGGCGCACGGTTAAAACGATGGATAACCCGACAGAAATTGACCCTCCTGAACGAACCAGGCGCCTTTACGCACTTCCCCAGAGACAGAGGGAAAAGGCCCACAATCATCGACCTTACATTTGTAAAAGGCCCAACACTTGACCACAATCTACGATGGAGCACTGAACCCTATGGAGCGGGCTTAGACCACGGGAAAACCTCCGTTCACTTACACTTGGAAAAACCACCCTTCGTACCAAGAAGAATGTGGTGACAAACAGACTGGAAGCTATTGGAGAACCACATGTCAAACATGTACATCCCTGCAGAGGCATGGGAAACCAAGGAACATACGGAACAAACTGTCGATTTCTTCCTAGAACTGGTCAGGTCAACAGTCAGCATAGTAACACCACTCTCGAAGGAGGGGGTAAGAGGCAACTCCTGGTGGTCAGATGAGATGAAACAAATGAAGGCAAGGGTAAACGCAGCAGAAAGGAAGGCGAGAAATACAAGGAAACCCAATCACGTGGAGGAACACCGGAAGGCTTGCAGAGAATGGACAGTCATGATCCGGAAAGCAAAAGCGGACCGGCGGGAAAAGACGATCAACGAGGCAAAAGGCAGTGAAGTCTGGAGAATCCTAAGCGCAGGAAGGAGACGAGACACAATCATACCAACCATACAAGGTGAAGAAACGTTCGCGGGGAAGTGCCAAGCTCTAAGAGCCCAACTTTTCCCCTCGAAACGGACGCCCCCCGACCATCCCCCCTTGAATATTAGACCCCCCTCCTTTGACCTTAGCAATACCTTCAACATAGTCACCCCCGAAGAACTTAACAAAGCAATCGACTCCTGTCCAGCGCACTCGGCGACCGGCCCGGATGGCATCCCTTACACCTTTATTAAAGCAATTGTCAAAGCAAATACAACTCTAATCCAAGACATGTTCTCCGCTATGCTCCGGCACGGTGTACACCCAGCGGAATGGAAAATAGCTAAGTGTATCCCGATCCCGAAACCCGGTAAAGCAAATTATCATGAAGCAAAAGCCTACCGGCCCATTTCCCTTCTACAATGTTTCAGCAAAATCCTGGAGAAGATAGTGGCCCAGAGACTCTGCACCGCTGGAGAAATCCTAGGCACACTCTCAGCAAACCAATTCGGAGGAAGACCAACCATCTCGGCAATCGACGCCCTCCTGAGAACCTTGACACCAATACAACAAAACCTACTACTAAAAAACAGCACCGGAATCGCCCGGCGAGATAGACCAGCGATCCTAACCAACGACATCCAAGGAGCATTCAATTGTGTCGATCACCTACTCCTCGCGGAAATCATGCACCAACAAAAATTCCCCACCTATCTGACAGAATGGTGCAAGGAATTCAACACCGGCAGAAAACTACAGTTCCAATTCAACCATGAGCTAGAAGAACCACAGCCCTATGATTCTGGAGTGCCGTAAGGTAGCCCCATGTCTCCGGTACTATTCATGATCTATGCCGGAGTAATTCTGGGCCCAACTAGCAGCCCAAAAGAGATGGACACAACTTACATCGATGACGATACGCTGGTGCAAATATCCAAAACACCAGGCTTTACAATCAAGAGAATGGAGGAACGAATGAGAGAAAGACTAATTAAAGCTGAGCCACTCCAAATTAAATACGACCCGGATAAATCCGATCTGATCTTCTTCCGGCCCACTACATCATCCACACAACAACCACGACTTCCAGTCAAAGTTAACAACATCAATATTTACCCCAAGGAGAGGCTGAAATACGTAGGAGTCTGGATAGATCCGACCCTCTCCTTCCGGCCCCACATCGAAGCAGCAATCGCAAAAGGCCTAAAAGCCCTCCACCAAATCTGAAACACTGCCCGCCTGCCAGGGATAACAGTCAAAACAGTTCATCACCTAATAACACAAGGCTTCCTTCCAAGCCTGCTCTACGGATCGGAGGCTTGGTGGACCGGCGCAGACCACATCATTAGATCGCTCGAACCACTATACAACGAAGCTGCCCGGATCATCACGGGCCTACCTCGATGGACCAAGAGAGCTAAACTCCTCCGAGAAGCAGGACTACCCCCCCTAGAACACCTTCTAACATATCGCTCAAGAAAGTACGGAACCAGAATACTCTGCACCGAGGCAACCCACCCCAACAATGAATCCCTGATCGAGCTCCTCCCATACAGAGAAGCGAACATCAAAGGGACAGGCCTACACCGAATCGCCTCCCTCCTACTCCCATATCAAACCCCCGGAAATGCGAGAGACAAGTGGAATCAAAATAAACTACTACGCGACCACCTGTTGGAAGAATGGAATACACAACCAATACCGGACTACCATCACCGGGGGGAGTTCCGCCCCCCTTCCAAGATTGCGAAACTCACCCTAACGGAGGCGAAAAAAGTTTTTCGAATCCGGTGCCAAACTACCCGAATCGATAAACACGCGGTATATACAGACCCCGAACCATGCCAGTGTGGTATGGAAAACTCAGCGAAACACATACTTATGGAATGCCCAGCGTGGGCTCGAATCCGCGCCCCTCTGATAGAGAAGATCCCTGGAGCGATGACCTGGGAAAACTGGATGTTTACAAACTTGAAAACGGACCTTATCCTACAATTTGCAAAGAATTCTCAACTCTCGAAATGGTACGAGTCGGCGGAGGCGGAGGCGGACCTGGAAGAGGGGATAGAAGCAAATGATTACGGACGGGATTAGGAAGGGTAGTTTCCTTTTACCTGTTATTTTTCGCTTTTGTTTTTAATTTTGTTTTTGATGGATCCAGCGCCTGAGTCCGCTGAGATATGTTATTTCTCCTTGTCGTTGGGTTTTTCTGGTTGAGTGTCGTTCCAGAATTTCCTTACTCTTGTTTGTGTTCGTTCGCGTTTGCTTTTGCTCTTGTTTGTTCGCGTTTGTTGTTTTTCCTTTCCTTCTTTCTCTTGTTCGGTTTGTGTCTTAGGCGGTTGGGTCGGCATGCGATAAGTCTTGTACTTCAAAGCAATATAAGGTTCTTCTTCTTCTGTATTCTACTCGCTCGCCTCTGGCTCGCGATAGGATTTCTTTCCCCCGAGATGGAGTTATACTGATTCTGGAATTGCTTCGGTCCCTGAATTTCCCTCGCTCAACACCCCCCATTCTTTGCTCGTTCGGTGCCCTCACGGGTCGCGTCTACCGTTCACCCCTCGCCAAAATAACGGCTACTCTCGAAAGCCGTCTACGCCCCTCCTTATTTTCACTCATCGCACGAGTGATCCCACACATCGGGTACGGACACTGTCAGTAATCTCCAGTCAGTGAGAATCTACTGCCAAAGCGCTCGACAGCCCGCGAAGTTAGCGACCTCTCGGTCGCGAAACTATCGTCAAATTTTTTACCCGAGGTCCCGTGACCTTACCCCTCTTTATCGGCCTTAACCAGGCAACCCTTTTTTACCCGAGGCGGCCCGCTCCCCTCACCCCAACCTAACCGGTCTCCGAGACCACCCCTCAACACAATACGGTCGGCACTTTCGATTGCGACCCCCACATATACTGAGTCTCCGACTCAACCCTTTTTGCATGTCCCCTCCAGAGGACACCACTTTAAACATGACTCGGGCACAGTCTTTAGCCGTTGCTCCAGGGACCGACGACCCCACAATTCGTTAACTGACCTACCGGTCACCACTCCTCAATTCCTCGCTGCTTGACAACCAGATGCCCGAGGACCCACTCTTAACCACCCCCCTCGCTTCCACCCTGACGCTGTTGCGGTTGGCTTTTCCTGCCTTCGTGCGCGTGGTTTCCCAGTCCTGTTAAGGTTCGTCCACAGATATGACACCGGGAACGTTGGTAATGATATCGTTTCGATTGAACACTATGTATAGGATTGTGCTCGCTTATGTAGTTGACGGAGAAGTTTGGGGTTCACTCTTACTACGGGGAGGTTTCTTTGTTGTCGCTTAGATTCTGCTTACCTGTAGTACTTGTTATTCTCGCCCTCTTCGTGCGCTGTTTTTGTTATTTATGTACGTAGTTCTCGTAGCTGCGGTAGTTAGTATTTTGTACTTTGTTTTTGTTTTCGGGTTAGTCGGTGGAGGTTGTAGTCGGGTAGTTAGGTGTGCGATAAGCTTCGGCTTCTAAGCAATATAAGTTTCTTCTTCTTCTTCTTCTATATTTCTTCCATGAATATTACTTTTGTTCTACGCTAATCCCTCGATACCACGTCTTCACCTCAGTTGCATTCCTTGGTACTATTGTCTCTCATTCATAGATCCACGTTACAGTAGCACTCCCTGCATCCCAGAAAGCACCCCTAGCACTCTCACATTCTAGGCCCTCTGTACCTGTTTATCCTCATGAGTATACTTCTTCTACGTGCCATATCGATTTTTGCTCGATACGCTCTCGATACAGGGAGTCGTCCCACACTTACTGGAAATATCGTTCTTCATCACCTATCGAAGTAATTGGCAAGAACTCTGTGAGTAGTCGTCAGATTTCTTCAAGCCAACTTCGCGGTCAAGGTCGATCGCAAACAGTCTACGAAATCGAGTATCTTCCCTCATCTAGCGAGGAGGATGAGAGTGCTCAGGTGCCGGAAAGCAAAAGTATTTTAATTCTGGGAAGCTAGTTTAGTTATCCGAAGGACACTTATGAAATCTTTGAGAACACTCGCAACATTCCTTCAAGCCAATTGACTCGGAGGTCTGTGGTACCTAACTCTAGGAGTGCAAATGTGCTGTCAGTACAGGTTTTTAGAATTGAGAAGGAGTGTAGTGTGTTAATCGGGGAGCATAATCGTCTACATAAGCCCTTTCCACCTGCAGCAAGACTTTTAGTACTGGTAATGAGCATGTGGGCAACTGCAAGTCATTGAGTGGGGTGTGAAGTATACATTGATAAGGTCGTTATTAAAGAGGTGAGTGCCCCCAAACGGATTACGAGTGTTTTGGAAGCATAATTGAGAAGGATAGATCAGAAGTTTGCACCTCCATATCCGTTCCTACTTGATGCATGAGGTGAAAGGGTGACTGATGGACTCTACGATACATGGGCTTGGAAATCTCGTATCGCCTGAGGTAAGGGTGGCTCAAGTGAAAAACCTTTTGATGAATGATCGTTTCTTGAGCCCCCAAGAGCATTACGAGGTATGATGGATCCCCAGAGAATACTCGGGATAGCCTCTCCCAGATTCTAGACCTACAGACTGCGCTTCCTGGATCCAGAAACTATCGATATATTGTATTTTAAATACTTCGATGGGGTAAGAATGTGAGGGGTTAAGGATCTCAAATTTCTAGAGCGGATAACCTCTACCCTTACTTGCCTAATATCGACATCGATTTGCTACGGCATTCGGGCGTGGTCAACAGGGAGTTACTTCAAGCCTGATAATTTTCAGTCGCAGAATGAGAATGTTGTGAGTAAGTATGGCCTGATGCCCTCATTGATATTCCGAGTGCTTTGGGAGCAATGGCGGTTGTTCCTAGGATTTCATAGATCGATTAGTTAACACATTGGGTTATGAGGTGTTAGATAAGTCAGAAAAGTTCTATTGGGTTCTATCGGGTTCTGTGGGTCGTTGATGTATGAGTCACTTTGGATTTGTCATCGCTCGGATTTCCTTGGGTATATTAGGAGAGTTCACCTTCGTTTCTTGTTCCTTTTTCTTTCCTTTCTTTCTTTACACAACATCTTCTGTACCTACGCTGTCTATTACTATACAATATCATTTCCCTCTTCTTTACTCAAGAAGACCACTATTTGCTGCCCTCTTGTCCCGTTGACCCTTACCGATCCTAGAGTCCCTCAGAACACCTATTTCAAGTTCTCACACTGACCTCTACTATCCCCTTCATACCCTACAGAATACTCGCTACTCCTCCCCTTGAGATAGGGCTATGCGGATTGCCGAGCTGATATCCAAACTCGAGTAGAAACATTCCACAGGATGAGCAACACTTGGAAGGGGATAAGTAAACAGAACCAGGAGGCCACCTTGGAGGTAATCAAAGATAACATTCGAGAAAAGGTATAAAACTTCTAGATCCCAGTAATACGAGTGGTATTCTAAATATTAACTCTAATAGATACGAGATAAAAAAGGGGGTAACTATTGAGGTAATACCACAGGAGGGTTTTAGCGAAGACAATGAAGTGCTGGCTGCAGGTCTTGCCGCAATCCAAGATGCTCGTAGAATACTCACAAGTACTACAGGAACTCGAATTGGTTCTGACAGTGCCCAGGACGAAGTGATTAATGCCCAACTTCATAGCATTGACACCAAAGAGAAGGGGGAGGAGGAAGAAGAGGAGCCAGAATTACCTGTAGTGGAGGATTACGAAAGGGGGGAGGAGCAGGATATATAGAACAATCGCGAGTGCTAAGGAAGATAGTGGGGGATTTTTTACTTTCCGTATATTTTATAAGAGTTGGTTGGGTATTAAATAGCATATTGTTTTAGTATTAAATGGAGGATCATGGTATTGAATAGATCAATTCTAGAAGTGCAGTCGCGAGTGCGTTGGAGGTAGTAGAGATCGTCGTGTGAGTGATGTTTTGGTAATCTCATAGGGGAATTGTGAATACCAGAGTCTGGTACAGTGCAGAGATGTATGCCTGGAGAGAATGGAGTGCCGATATATAGGAATCGGTACGTCAGCCATGAGCCAGCTTTCAAAGCACCCGATCTGGCAAAGTCAGGAGGTGTCAAGGCAATTATTCTATCCCGGTGCCTACTCTAGCAGTCAGGATATACAAGCGAGCAACTGGCATTCTCTGGCAATCCGACTGATGTCCGGATTGTGCTGAGGGTTAGGATTAGGTGTCGGAACGCATTGGGTAGACAACCGTACGCCAGAACTCACCAGGAGCACTTGCAATATCTCTGGTGAAATTGTTTACCTACCGAGTGCCCTGAGCACCCCGAATATCTGATGAAGGTTGCAGGTTTGCTGATTTGGTCTAGCCATTTTTCTTGATTGGAATATCAAGAACTACTCGAAAGCTAAGTCCGGAATATAAAACTGTGCTAGTGAGCGTATCGAGAGTCACCAGTGGTATTAAGGCAAACCCTCCGTTCATGCTGCCTTTAAGGAACCTGATAAGTCATAAATGAAAAAAAACCTTACAAAAATGAGAATCTGCGAAATAACGGCAGAGCAGGTAGCAATATAGAAAGTATATGAGGGGCTCAATGCCATAATAATGGCTAAACTAGCCAGCCTTAATTTTGACCACAACACTACACTTGTCATAAAATACAGAACCGCGAAATAAGTAAAGAGAGTGGCGATTAAGAACACTGTAGCTTGAGAGACACCTTTGTTTTGGAGGGACTGAATGATTGCTTTCATGAAGCTTGAAAATAAGATACCAGAGAGCACTATAGCCATGACAACAAAGCTATCTTGGATAAGTCGTTTCTTTCTATCACTACACAGAACTCAGCATTCCCCAAACAGTCAAAGGTTATATGTGTAAGAAGGTCCCAGTCCACCATCTTCGGTAAAAGTTAGGATGAGTATCTCTAAAGGAAGTCACAGTAGAAAGGCGACTATTGCCCAAACAAAGCCGCATCCGGTATGACTATATCTGCATAGCTTGCCAAACTGAAGTACCGAGAAAATTGACAGAAGTGATCTCAAGTATAGTTTCTCTGAAACCCAATGCTGGGTAGTTGGATGGAAGGGCCACACTGGCAGGAGCAAATCCAAATAGGGAGATTCAATCACCTATGGATGACTAGCTGAATAGCCTATTGAAAACTCAGACGAAGATGCTGGACCGCTTGTGGGCTTCTATAAAAATCCCACAGTAGAAGGCACTGAAGTACACAGTGAGAGTAGTGATGAGTTGAGAGATATAATATGTCAAATAATAGGTATAAAATGTCAAAAAGAGGCCCAGCGGGTGTAATCAGGGCATGAATTTGATTGTTCGACCAAACTCCGATCGTACTATTCAGTGAGTGTGTAAGATACGCGAGGATGAAAGCAAGAAGAGGGCAGAAAATATTAAGGTGTGTGACTCCTGACCCCGTTGAACCTGCACTGCTGACATCAGTCGCATGAGTGATCGGTGATCTTGGTACCTCTGCCGAAGCTGACGGTTCAGGAACAGCAGTCGATCAGTGTGTTGACACACTCACGATGGATTGTAAAAATACGTGGTAGGTATATAGACCAGCAATACTTGCAGATATGATCATAGGGGCTAATGACGGTATAAACAATTTGAAAGAAAAGACGACAATAAAAGGGTGCCCAGCGGATCTCATTGGTAGGATAGTAACTTTTAAGCAAGTTGATGGGAGTTAAAGATGTTTTCTCATTTGGCGCGCTATCTGGCAACATATATAAGGATAGCGCTACTGCACAGCCTTGCCAATGACTAAACAGCAAGCTACAGTCAATCTGATTACGAATAGCATGCTGCTTAGTCCGTTCCCATACAGAGTTACCCTACCGTATACCAATATGAGGTGTAGAAATGTAAACCACCCTTCCTATTACAGCTCGAGGGGTGAATATGGTATTACTCCAAAGTTTCCTAGTAATAGCCGCACTGGCTGACTTTGGAGTTTCGCGACCGTTGCTTTGTACCCCCCAGGCATGGTGCGAGTGCTGTGGGGTCGGAGGTGGAGTTTACCAAAAAAAAAAGACGTTTTCGACCCTGAGCATAACCCCAGGTACGTCAAAGAGTCAGAAGACTCCCATTTGGTACCGGGCCTGCTTTGAGAGCTGGGTGACTACAATAAAGACCTCTCTCTGAGAAAAAAAACCTTTCGACCAAAAATCCTCTTGATGTAAAATATGGCGGGTGACAGCTGGAAAGGTACCTTCGTTTCAACACCCAAAATTTGGGCTGCTAGATGGTTTTATGAATAGTTGGAACCAAGATGGGTTATGATATTCCTATAGTAGGATTAGAGGTTTTGCTATAGCTATTTTGAGTATTGCAATCAATTCTCTGAGTCTAGCCATTAAACATTGTTCTGATTTGTTGACCAAATCATTGATTCGGTCAAGTGCACCTATTATCCAACAAGGAAATGAAATGAACGAGCACTTGTTCAAGTGGTGGGGAGTTGTACCAGTGACCAAGTTGTGAGAAAGAAAAATACGTCAGATATTACTTTTGAGATCGAATGCGATAATATTCTGTTGTTATTCATGTTAAGCCAACTAAACAATAGACCTGAATGTTTTTTACTTTTGCAAGTAAATCTATTCAAAAATAAGCAATGATATCCAATATAATGAGTAGGACTGCTGTTGAAGTTGTATTACTTCTTGTACCCATTTTTCGTGGTGTGAGGTCTCAGTTACAGCAAGATTTAGGTCAAAAACAGTCAAAGGTCCCAACATATTGATAATAGTATCGTACGAAGACAATACGGCAGTGCCGCTTGTGCCAAATATTGCATACGACAGGACATTTCAGGTGATCCTCTGCCAAAGATGTCGCACGACAACCTAGGATACAATTTCGAAATGGTAAACTACAATTAATACCAGGTGATCTATGTTACCAGCACTTGGGGATGAAATTAGCAAACAATAGTATATCTAACTGAATGAACAGTGGTAATAGGGTAATGAATCATCCTCATATATCAGACTATTATGTATCAGTGAAAAACATACTGATACTGTATCAAAAAAATACTGCATCTATAACCGGGGGTTGAACCTGCATCATTGTGGATGTACAATTGAAGCTGTACCATCTATGCCATCAGAAAAGATACTACATATCTGTTCTATCAGTATATCAGGTAGGGTAATGGTAGGGAGAGGGTAGTTTACCCTTCCCCTCGATAACCCCCCAAAAGATAGCTGGACAATTTGACAAAAAATTCGCTAAGTCCCAAAACAGCAGGCTGAAGCTTATTTACCCTTGTTAAGGAAAGACCATCCTTCCTCTACATCGTACATTTCTGATAATTTACCACTAAAGAATAAAAGAACACTCCCTATATCTTATATTTCCAGGAAACTACCACTAAAGAGTAAAAAACCACCCCCTATATCTTATATTCCCGATACTTTACCACTACAGAGCAAGGACCACCCCCTACATCTTATATTTCTGATTGTTTACCACTACAGACCAGGGACCAACCCCTACATCTTATATTTCCGGTAAACTACCGCAAAAGAGCAAAAGAGTACGGCTTTACCTTACCGGGCCCATTACTGCACTCCGAAATCGCATGAATTTGGCGCTTCACACTATAAAAATTGTACCGTAGGGGACAGGTAGGCTCAGGTGATTCTTCTGCCAAAGGCAGTGTACGGAGGAGAGTGACAGCGCTTTCTCTGCCAGAGGCGGCGTACAGAGCAGTCTCGCCGTGTGACAGGTAGCAGACCTATCATAATGATTAGGTGATTTCTGCCCCCGGAAAGCACTTTAGCTTGGTTCTGTACCTCACTATCTCCATTCCCGGCGGTTTTCTGACTGCTTCGGGACCACTGGTGGTCTAGATACCGCCCAATGTGGCTATTTGTGCCCGGGAGAGCTAGACAATCATCACCGTCGTCTTGAAATCGCCGTAGGATGTACGCCAGCCCTATTTGGGTTTGCTGAGAGTTGAGTTGAACTTGCTAGCTCGTCTTCCCTGTTTTCCTCAATGGTAGGCACACGAGACTGGGATGGCTGATATAATTAGTTGTCCTCCCTATCACTATAGGCTGAGGTGCTGATTGTGGCACTGGCTGGGGCATTTGCGGCCTGACTCGGACGAACAGATAGTTGAGCAAATATCTGAGCATTCTCCATCGTCACCATCGTCCTGGTAAGTGTCAAAGGTAATTCCGGGTAGGTCCCTGAGTCAAGGGTCAATATTGTCAGACATTGTGGATGAATGTTAAAGTAGGATGGTGTAGGTACATGCCCGAGGCTGAGAGTTAACCTGGATCCTCACCGGCTCACCTTTCAAAATCATGCATCCAATCAACCTTAAACGGTTCAAACTGTTATCATAAACGATTACCCACACGTATAAATGCTCTGTACGATATGGGTACACGTACTATCGGGGAGTGTTCCTGGATAGGACGTACTGTGAAGGAATATTCCTCAAATGTATATACTATTCATGTATGGTAGGTTTTCCTAGATTGTATGACTAAAATGTACTATTCAGGAACGCGCCATCTATTGTGTAATTAAGGTTTGACGGCTGGTTTACCATGCACCTCCCGCGCAGAGAGACAGCTATCACTACCTAGTGTAGTAGCTTAAACATCTGACATATGTCGGAGTGTCTGGGGTCCGGTTCCGATCCCCGACCTGTAATGGGTCAGGGGCACGACGATATATAATTGAGGGCGTCAAGGTGTGTCATATTGTCCACACAGAATGGATAGACGCCTTGCCATAAGAGGAAGAGGGTTGTCCGATTACTGTACCATGAATTCATTCCTCTGGAGGTAAGGCGTAAGACTCCAGCTGTTTATCTATTAGCCTAACTCCTCATTGCACATGAGTGGGGTCGCGAAAAGGATAAACAGCTGGCGTAAGTCGATGCAGCTTTTTGCTACGAACCGAGTGATAGGCCACGACCCGCTCTCTGCCATCCTCCGCTCACCCCAAAGCTGTATGAGTAGCAGTGCTCGCCCAGGAGAGCACTGCCTACCCCAGGAGAGCTCTATTCGTGACAGAAGCTCTACAAATACAAGTACTCGCCCCAGGACAGCTCTGCTAGCTCCAGTATAGCCGTGTTCGCCACAGGAGCTCTCTGTTTGCCCCAGGATAGCTGTCCTCGCCCCAGGAGCTGTATTAGTCGCTGTACTCGCCCCAGGATAGCTGTGCTCGCCCAGAAAGCTCTGTGAGTTGCTGTACTCACCCTAGGGCAGATCTGCTTGCTCCAGGACGGTCCTACTCGCCCAGGAGCTCCATCAGTACCTTTACTTGCCCCAGGAGAGCTCTGTCCTAACGCCCGTAGGATTTCCGCCCCGGAACTCCGTTTTAGTCTTGCAGCCGCTCAACCCACACACTCGACCCACACACTCGACCCACACAGTCGACCTCTGCCAGCGCTTGCACCGTCGCCTGCACCGTTGCCGCCTCCGCCGCCGCCTGCAGCACCAAATCAGCAGCACCGCCGCCCCCGAGGGCGGGTGATAATCTGTGATGCAGCAAATCGGAGTGAGATTTGGAGACTGGCTAGGGTTACCTAAGGTTAGTGATTTTGTGTGACCCAGAGCTACTAGCTGCTTTGGGAGGGGTCTTCAGTGACTGACGGTAGCGACAGGACTACGTTCACAGTACCATCAGCTGCCTCTACGTCGAAGTCTAACTCTCGAGCCATCGGCGGTGCTGCTCTTGTACAGTGAGAGATTCTGGACGGAGTTGGCAATCACGGAGAGTAACCTTTGACCGAAGACTTACCCTGTTCTTACCCTCAGCTCTCTGTCTCTACCGTTTTGCCCCGAGGAGTTGAGATATTGTTCGACGCCTGCGGTGAATTACAACAATCGCTACAGTAGGAGGTTGCTGCTCCCACCGACTGCATATGTTGAATCGGAGGACTGTGTTCAGGCCGGAGCATCTGTGGGTAGGGTAACGTTGATACGGTAGGGTAACCCGACTCGCCATCATCACCGGTTGCCTCCTTTTCTACCGACAGAAGAATCGGTCAATGATAATGTGCCTATATCTCAACCAATACGCAAGCTATGCTCTCGAGAGCTATATCAGGCAGAGCCCAGAACTGCCTAGTACAAAAAAACAGGAACACCGCCGCAGACGCCGTCTACAGCGACAGTTATCAAGTAACAACCCTAGGATTAATGGGACCAATTTGCATGCTAGAGAGACACAGCGACAATCCATCCGCTCTATTTGGTCAAATGATCCCTATGATTGCCTTGGATTTACATATGCACGCACTGTTACTATCCAGCACAGCAGTCGATTGGTATCGGCAGCATTCTCTTATGATTATTGCTATGACGGTTGCCCTTAGAGAAAATGTGTGTAGAGAAGTGTAGTAATTGAGCGTGTTATTCCAACTAACTAAAGAGGGGGGAATGCCCCATATTTATACTAAAGAAAGGTAACACAAAACATAATGAATCACAGCCGTATGAGTAATAGAAAGACATGACTAATAAATACCAAGGAAAGAATGAGTCAAAACCCATGACTCATGATGACAAATGAGAATCCTCCAATACTATAAAATGTGCTGAGCGTACTATTTCAAGACTTCCCCTCGTGAACCACAGTGAATAGTAGAAGAAAATAAAACATGCTTGCCCTTATCCAATCCCTTTGTAAGTAAATCCGCCACGTTTTCATTTGTAGAGATATATTCCAACTCAAACAATTTATCCTCGTATCATTCCCGAACAAAATGAAAATGCACATCAATATGTTTAGACCTTTTATGAAAGACAAGATTTTTAACCAAGGACAAAGAACCATTATTATCACCGCGAAGAATAAAAGAAAGTTTCGGTTTCCATTCCAACTCATATATAGCATTCCTTAACCATATCAGTTGTCGACTAGTGTCCGAGAGAGCCATGTATTCTGCCTCAATAGTCGATGTGGCGACGGAGCGCTGCTTATAAGAGCGCCAGGAGATAAGAGCTTCTCCTAGCATAAAGCAGTGGCCGGTAAATGAGCGGCGATTGTCGATGTCAGAGGCATAGCTTGCGTCACTAAAGCCGATGAGTGCAGTGGGTCGCGTTTTTGCGTGGAAGAGTGACCAATCGAGGGTGCCATTGAGGTAGCGAAGGACGCGATGGACTGCAGCCAGATGAGCTTTGGTGGGACAGGAAGAAAATTGCGAGAGCATAGTGACGGTGTAGGCGAGATCCGGTCTGATACCGATTACTGCATACATTAATGAACCGATTATCGACTGATAGATTGTTGGATCGTCGATTTTCTCCGCTTCTGTTCCCTTTTGTAGGTGAACATTATTGTCGATAGGTGTTGTCACAGGTCTAGATTCATCGAAACCGTATTTGATAAGTACACTCTTAAGATAGGCTTCCTGTGATAGGATCACGCCAGTCTTAGTGTGGATCAAGTGGATCCCGAGTGTCCAGTTGGCTGTGCCAGTTTCCGTCATGTCGAATTCTGGGTGGAGTTGGAGGCTGGCACGGTTTTTGCGTTCAACGGAACAATAGAAGATAAGGATATCGTCCACGTAGATGGCGATGACAACTTCCCCTGTTTTGTGAATGAAAACACAAGGGTCGAAGTCCACTTTTCTGAATCTCATTTTGATTAGCATTTTGGAGAGACGAGCATACCATTCCCGAGATGACTGTTTGAGGCCGTAAATGCATTTGATAAGTCTGCATGCTTTGCCGGTAGTAGGGTAGCCAGGTGGAGATTTAATATAGATTTCTTCCTGAAGTTCGCCGTATAGAAAAGCACTAGTAATGTCCATCTGATCGCATTGGCCGCCGGTTTGATGGCAGCGAGCAAGAAGTAGTCTGATGGATTCGTATCGGGTGACGGGGGCGTAAGTCTGATCAAAGTCTTGACCAGGTACCTGTGATAATCCTTTTGCGACGAGTCGGGCTTTACACCGAATGGGGTTGCCATTGGGTCCGAGTTGGATTTTGTATACCCATTTGCAGTCGACCAATTTTCGGTGATCTGGTGTGTCAACCAGATTCCATGTATTATTCCTAGCGAGTGAGTCGAGTTCAACTTCCATAGCCTTTTGCCATTTTTCGGAGTCAGGACTATTGATCGCTTGGTGGTAGTTTGTTGGTTGTGCAATGGTGGTATCATGCTGAATGTTGTATCCGTATCTGACCGGAGGTTTCCATTCTCGTGGTGGGTTACATCTCGATTGATCAGTATCTGTACCAACATCATTGTGCGGGGTATGTTCAGGAGCGTTTTCTTCTTCTTCTTCTCCTTCTTCTTCAGATTCGTCGTTGGAAATTTGTTCCATAGTTTCTCGAAGCATTTGTTGGTTAAACAAGTCTTCGATGTCGGAATCTGAGAGTTTCGCAGGTGGTGTTGGTGGACGTGATAGCCGAGTGGGTCTTTGGCTTTGTCCGTAGAGTTACTAGTTCTAGTGAGGAGGGATGACCAAAGAGTATTGAACTGGGTTAGATGTTCCTTGATACCTTTGTCAGGTGTATACTGTAGGATTACAACGTTGGCGAGAAGCGAGTGGAGGGAAGATACAGTTTTCCGATCAAATCTGTCCTCGAGTTGAGTCCAGATGTAATGAGCGGTATCGGCAGGAGTGAGTGTGAGGATGACTTCAAATTCGATGTTGGATTGAAGGAAGACGACCGCGAGGTTAACTTTCTTATCCCATTCACTAATTTCTTCGGCGTTGTCTGTGGTTTCTTCTTCGTCCTCTTCTGCTAGTGTTGCTGCTGCTGCACCTTCTGCTGGTTGTTCTGCAGGTGGTGCCGCTGTAACCGTAGTGGTGAACGCAGGACGCTTACTCGTACCATTGACTAGATTCCACAAATCGTAAACTTTTAACATGCGACAAGCGAGGTCCCTCCAAACAATGTAATGGCCTTGGCCAGACAGCTTGAATGGTAAAGCGGGAATTTTTACGCTGTTGTTCGACATGTTTTAAAGTGAAACGATAGAGTGTACTTTGATAGTAAAAATGGTTTGGAGTGTTTTTAAGCGTAGATAGTCTCCGGGCTCATAACCTAGAGAAAATGTGTGTAGAGAAGTGTAGTAATTGAGCGTATTATTCCAACTAACTAAAGAGGGGGGAATGCCCCATATTTATACTAAAGAAAGGTAACACAAAACATAATGAATCATAGCCGTATGAGTAATAGAAAGACATGACTAATAAATACCAAGGAAAGAATGAGTCAAAACCCGTGACTCATGATGACAAATGAGAATCCTCCAATACTATGAAATGTGCTGAGCGTACTATTTCAAGAGCCCTTAGGGAGAGTTGAAGGTAACTACGGCAACAGACTCAACCTCATTCTCCAGATGGCAGCCTCGGATTCTCTCCTGCATTCATCGTTACCATTTTAATCTCTACCGACAGATTCCACAGACAGTACAGAGGCAATTGCTCCACAATCTAGCTAGCTATGAGGGGTACAGCTGTAACACGAGAAGCCTACGCTTTCATTCTGCGAGAAACAGGGAAAACGGCAAAGACGCCAATTCCCGGTAAATGACTCCAGAAAGACCCAGCTCAATTCAACCTGGCTACTATGCCCCCGCGATTCCCGGGGCGGAAATCATACATAATACTGTCGGTGAAAACTGAACTGATGATTTCTATTTGAGTACCAGTGATAGCAGTATAAACACCTTCTAAGAAGGATAAACTGCGAGGAATCTCATATCTGTATCCTACGTTGGGTTGCAAATTTCTCTCTGCGGATACTTTAATTCTTCCACTATTCAATTTGCCGGTGAGGTGTATTAATGATGGAGCTAGGAATTCAAAACGAGAATAGAGCTATGTAAATAAATTTGAAAACTTTCGTGTATATCAGATATAGTACCTACCATAATGGCTTGGGGTAGTATGTACCGAACTGTGTTTTGCGGGTTGCGGCCATACAAATCCACAACCCCGCACTCGCCTCACTTCGCACCGCCGCCTCCGCCACCGCCTGCACCAAATCCAGCAGCACCGCCTCCAGCACCAACTCGAGCACTAGCACCAAGTCCTGCGCCTCTGCCTGCACCACTGCCTCTGCCTGCACCACCAAATCGAGCGCTTGCACCAAATCAAGTACCGCCGCCGAGGCCGAGTGAGATTCCGTGACTGGCTAGGGTTACCTAGGGTTAGTGATTTCCTGTGACCCAGGGAGACAGGGTGCTTTGCAGAGAGTCCTCGGTGGCTGACAGGCGCGGCGGGGCTAGGTGCACGATAAGATCAGCTACGTCAAGGTTGAGGTCTAACCCTCTAACCATCGGCGGTGGTTGTTTGTACACGGTGAGAGACGGTGAGAGGCTCGTCACAGTGGCTGTTCTTGTACACCGTGAGAGACAGTGAGAGACTCGTCACGGTGGCTGTTCTTGTACAATGAGAGACCCTCGACTCTGTTGGCCCCTGAGTAGGTAACCTTTGACACAAGGGTTACCTTGATCTTGACCCTAGCCTTCGGTCTCTACCATTTCACCCCTTGGAGCCGAGAAATGACTGTACTACTATGGGTAATTAATACTAGTTAGGGCTACCGGCGGACGTTAATCTCTTCACTGGCTGCATAAGTTGGATCGGAGAACTGGTTTCGCACTGGGTGTTCTCTGGGTAGGGTAACTCTCATATGGAAACCTCCCAGATGCGGTACCACAACATTTGCCTTGCCATTTTTGATCGGATTGGCATAGGTATTTCCCCTACCAACCCGAACACTATCAACACTACTGTTACACCTTTGCCCCGATTACTAGCTGAGAGTGTCCAAGACTAGACCGTATCAACAAGGTAGGGTAACCGTGACTTCTTAGTTACCCTGCATGAACTAATACACAAGCTTTACTCATTTCTACGTCCCCGGAGCCTTCTACACAATCCGTAAGGCAACGAGGCAGAGGGTAAGGGTCCTGCCTTCGAAATGGCAGAACAACCACCGATACCACTGCTTACAGGGATGGATACCCAAGACTAAACCATGGATTTGATGGACCGGTCTGCATGCGGTAGAGATGCGATGACTACCTTTGGTACCCTTTCACTGACATGGTCATGGTGGCACTCTCGGATTCACCCTTGCACCCACCGTTGAGCTTTCCCACTGGATTGCGCCTACATTTCTGATAGAGATGGAATATCATCTCCACTACCTGCGCTCCTATCTTTATGTGAAGGGAAGGGCTATGCCCGAATTGAGGATGGCACGGTCACGGTGGCACTCTTGGATTCACTCCTGCACGCACGGTTGGGATTTGCATCAGCGGAGTACATACATTCCCGACAGAAATGAATTATTATCTACACCAGATGAGCTCCTATGTTTATGCGGAGGGTACTGCCGTGTCCAGATCGAGGCCAGGGTCCCAATGGTATTCTCGGAATTACTCTTGCATGCGCCGTTGAGTTTTTCATTCTCCGCCGGCCAATACTACCATCAATACCTTTTGGTCTGTATCTCACCCATTTGGCTAGCGACAAGTCTCCCAACTGTATCAGGCAGGACCGAAAGGTCCCTAGCCAAAATGGACAGGACTCAGCTGAAAGCGTCCACTCACAGGCACAGGTGTAGACCACCCTTTTCACCACCGTCACCGAGTCCTAACAGTACTGTACTCTTAGTAGAGAACTCGTCCACCTCACACACTCTCCGTAGCCACAATACCTGAGCTGATGCCTCGCACAATCCGTACAACACATCATTAGGGTTAGAGAGTTAGGGTTAGCTAGGGTTTGGTATAGAACGTTATCATCACCGCTACCGCGCAAAGCCTCTTCTACGCTTCATTAGGGTTAGAGAGTTAGGGTTAGCTAGGGATTAGTATAGAACGTGATAATCACCGCCACCGCGCAAATCTTCCTCTATGCGTCATTAGGGTTAGAGAGTTAGGGTTAGCTAGGGTATTGGTATAGAACATGATGATCACCGCCACCGCTCAAGTCCTCTTCTACGCGTCATTAGGGTTAGAGAGTTAGGGTTAGCTAGGGTATTGGTATAGAACGTCACCACCACCGCCACCCAACTCATTCTACCCGTTCTGGGTGGTGTGGGCCTCGGGTCAGGGCTTGATTTAGGCCCAAAGCGGTCAAAAGTCGCCAAAACGAGACAAATTACGTCGTGCGGGGAGTCCCTAATAGCGCTTAGGGTGCAAAAGACGGCGTAGGGGGACTGTCGCGGGGCGCCTCCCCACGACAAAGGCGGTGTACAACAGTTGGGCTCAAGGCCCACCTCTGCCAATGGCGGCGTATGTCAGGAAGGCTTATGCGATGTGTTTGCCAAACGCCATGTACGACAGGCAGGCGCATGCCATTCTCCTGCCAAACGCCGTGTGTGGTACAGGCTGATAGAGCTTTGACCTGCCAAAACGCGACGTATCACAGGCAAGCTCATACGATTCTTCTACCAAAGACGCCATACGGTAGAGACTGACAGAGCTTTGCTCTGTCGAAGCCAGCGTATCCCAGGCAGGCTAAGGCGATTCGTCTGCCAAAGGCGGCCTACGGTGGCCTACGGTAGGGACTGACAGAGCAAAGCTCTGTCAGTCGTGCCATGCGATAGAGACTGGCAACTATTCTTCAGCCAGCGACTCCGTGCGGTTAAGACTGACATAGCGCCTCTGCCAGTCTCGCCACACGACGGGCAGGATGCCTCGGATTGACTTTGCTAGCCCTACCGTACAAGAGCTAGAAGGCCTGGCATTGAGTTTTCTAGTCCTACCGTGCCACTGAGAGGATGCCTGGTGTTGACTCTACCAGTCTCGCGGTACGACAGGCAGCAGGCCTGGCATTGACTCTACCAGTCTCGCGGTACGACAGGCAGGAACCCTGGTATTCACTCCGCCAGTCCTAACGTACCACAAGCAGCAGGCCTGGCATTTACTCTGCCAGTCCTACCGTACCACAAGTAGGCAGAGAGAAAAGGACTCTGTCGGTCCTACCGTGCCACAGGCAGGAAGCCTGGCATTGACTCTGCCAGTCTCGCCGTGCCACAGGTAGGCAGAGACAAAGGGACTCTGCCAGTCTAACCGTCCGATAGGTAATTCTACCTATTCACTTCTGCAAAGTCCTGCCCACGACAGGTAGATGACTCTACCACCTCTGCAAAATGCTGCCGTGGGACAGGTAATTCTACCTCTTCGCTTCTGCAAAACCCTGCCCCACGACAGGTGATTTGCCTTCTTTCCCTCTGCAAAATGTAGCTGTGCGGCAGGTGATTTGACTTTTTTCCCTCTGCAAAGTGCTGCCGTGGGTCAGGTAATTTCATTTCTTCGCGTCTGCAAAATCTCGTCCCACGACAGGTGATTTGACTTTTCTGGCCCTGCAAATCGCTGCCGTGCGACATGCATCTTTCACCGCACGCTTAGATCTGTACCAAATAACCTTGTTTTTTACCTCCCGCACGATTGCTCGGCCCTCTTTTCTTTCCCATCTTGCACTCCCCTACGGTGAATACTACTACTTTTAATAGAAAAATATCTATGCTCGTACGGGTTGATTCCCATGAAATATCTGATTTCTATTTCTGCACGGCAGCTCTCATCTCTTTTTTCCACTCTACTTTCCTCCCGCACGGTAGGTTTTGTCGCTTCACACCTCAAACTACTCTCACCGCACTGGTAGATTTCCCAGATTTACCTACCGCAAGATACTCTCCTCCAAAAAAACCTTTGCATCACCAAATCTCGCTCGTTTATGTAACTTCTCATACAAACGACATGATTACATGATTCTGTGGGCAGAGATGAGTCACAAGGGTATTATTGGCGGGGTTAGATACCCAGTTGGGTCGCATCCCTTCGCTTATCCCTTCGCTTATGAAATTGCTGACCAACCGCTCCGCGGAAGGCCGTGCCAAGGCTGGTGACACACAATCTCCCAGCCCCTTCTGGAGAGAGTAAATTATTATATCAACCGATTTCACCCATCCTTGCTCTTGCAACCTACCTACTACCCGGCCATACTCTCCTCCCTGTCTCTCTCTACCCCTCTACCCATGACTTCTGATCTCCACACTTTCACCACCGAGTATTTCACTTCTCGCACCCCCTCGGAATGGGACTTCCAGTCCTACCTCGCCGGCATCAGCAAGCTCAAACCGGCCCAAACGCTTGGTGAAGTCAACTCTCGCTTCTACACTGCTCTGAAGAAAATCGCTGCCTCTGCCTCTTCGTCAAGCCAGACTCTCACAAGAGTGCAGTTCCTGATGTATGGGGTGCAACAAAGGTCAAATAAACGCGTGTGTATACCTCCATGGTTGTTTGATTTTCCTTGGCTCCTGGGAATCCATCCGGAGTTGGGTTTCCCTGCGCAGTGATTGTGGTATGCGGCCCAGAGCCAGCAGCGGCCCAGAGCCAGCAGCGGCCCAGAGCCAGCCCTTTACGGCCCAGTGCCAGCCCTTGCAGCCCAGTGCATGTAGCGGCCCAGTGCCAGCCCTTGCAGCCCAGTGCTAGACCACATCCTGCGTGTTACTGACGGGTGTGGACCTCTAGAAATGGAATCGAGAACAACGAAGGAATCGAGGGCAGGGGAATCGAGAACAGCAACCAGGTTTCGTTAATCATGGTAATGTCTCTATAGCCCATGGAGTGGGCAATATCATCGAAGGACAGCGGGTTGGCAAGGGGCAGCACATCACCGTAAGTACCGCCAGCGGAAATCCCTCGATCGATGGCACGAAGAAAGCGCGACGTGTCGAGCCCAGACGTACACCTACACCTACCCTTACCCTATCTGAATCTTCTGAGGAAGATGATGATGAGGAGGAGGACCAGTACGAAGCCGAGGACGAGGAAGAGGACCAGTACGAAGCCGAGGACGAGGAGGAGGAGGAGGAGGAGGACCGGGAACAAAGCAATATCCCTAGTGGCAGGCCTGATGGTCTTGATAGTACCAGCGATACCGATCGACTAGATGCCTTCCTCAACTCTTTCTCGGCCATGCGGGGAGCCGATAAGCAGATATTTACGTGCTCTGGACGCGTCCTCGAGAACCTCATCCACGTAGGCGTCATCGCCAATCCAGCCGCCGCCGAGGATGCCCTCGACTGGGTTATCGACCTGAAAGTCGAAAACGTCCGCGGGTGGTTCTCGCCACCTGAACTTGAGGAACTTCGCTCGTGGCTACCGCCGACTCCGAAGGTCGATCAATTCTTTACGTATGCTCGTCACCGGTATGATAAGGTACGTACGTATCTCTAGGCCTACCCCCCCAACCTCTCTCGCCGTCCACAGCTCTCTCGCCGTCCACACCCCCTCTCCGTCCACACCTCTCTCCCCACACTAACAACTACAGAAATCCAGCATCATCGCCCTCCGCGAAACCTCGGAATCAAAGCCTACCCCCCCCGACACGCCCTACGACCGCAAACTCACCTTCAACGCCACCTACGTCAACGCTGCCGTCACCTCCCTCCTCTCCACGATTGAACAGAGCGCCACCAACGAGTCCTTTGGCTCCCCGCAGAGTCACCGCGAGGGGTGGTATGGGTCCAAGATCTGGAGCATGCTATTGGACCACTGTCTGGACGACCTTGATAACCTTACCGTGTCACGCACCGATATCGCGTCGAAGGTTGGGTGTCCGGGGCGAAGGTGTGATACATATTTTTTTTATTTTACTTTCACTGCAGCCCGGGTCGAATGCTTACTCACTTGTCAAGGTTTGATGCCGTGTTCTTGGCGGGGGGTGTGGGAGTGGAGGTGGCGGAGGTGGGGGCGGTGGAGGTGTCGAGGTCTGGAGATGTGTTGGGCGTGAGGAAGAGGCGCGGGGATCAGGGCAAGTTGAGGGAGCTTATGAAAGCGATGGTGAAGGCGCTGTGGAAGATGTCGAAGTGTGCTGATGAGGCGGGAAGGAAGCTCCAGGTTGTGGGTGTGCAGCATGTTGGTGAGTTATCTCCTTCCCTTGTCCTACCCTAGTGTGGCAGCGACTGACTGACAAATGCAGGGTTCAACATACGCATATCGACCATGTGTGCCGTGAGCAGGGGCGTCTTTGTCCTGCAGCCGGGAGCGTGGAGGGCGGTCCCGCATAAGCTGGAGAACTTTGAAATGGTGTTTGACGTGCTGCAGGCGGTCGTTGTGATGAAGGGTATTGTGAAACGCACGGTGGAGGTGCTGAGGGCACATGCTAATGTGAAGGCGGAGGCGGATGGGGCTTTTGAACTTTAGATGTGTTATGAGCGTTGGGTTTTTCTTTTTTTATTTTTCATATTATTTTTTATATAATTGGGCGTTGGTTGGGGTGGGGTTTCTATCTATCTATTATATCTATTTTCTTCTATTATGTACTGGATTATGGTTTTTCTAAACGCTTGGGCATATGATTGGTCGAGTGCTAGAAACCCTAACCCCAATGGCAACCGCCAAAAATTATATTTTATCGGGAGCGGGCTGCGAACACTGGCATGCCCGGTATGAGGGGATCAATTATACTACGGGAGGTGGATCTGTAAATTAAGAAGGATGAAGTACTGGAGGTGGAAAGTAGAATATAACGATGGCTTGAATTGACTGAGAGCATCGATCAATTATTAGCCGGGAGCTGGTGCTGGAGCCGGCCATATGGTCAACTGCGGGAGCTGGCAAATATTGCAATGAGCGACTATGAGAGCTGGCTGGCTATGGGCAACTACTGGAGCTGGCTACGGGCAACCTGCTACGGGCAACACCGGCCCAGCCTTCAAGTAGTACATAGAGGTGGGAGAATCCTCAGGAGGGGGGAGACCTCGCGGTCGCGAGGTGGGCTACTACTAGTCTATTATGTACTGGATTAACGACTTCCCTAAACTCTCTGGCATCTGATTGGTCGAGAGATGCAACCCCCTAACCCTCACTGACTTCTGCATGGGAACCAGCCCACCCCACCAAAACATAATGCTGCGGAAGCTCTACAATTCACGCATCTAAAAAGGTCTATTGATTATAATGAATTTAATTCAATTTCAACTAAGAGCGCTGGGAGTAATGAGAGCTGGATGGAGTGGAAGGTGAAGGGCGGTGGAAGAGGTGAGTTAGAGGACAGCGGGTGGTAGAGGAAGGTGGCGGAGTTGGCAGAGGGGGTGGGGTGCAGGGTTTACTGTTACACATAGGTGGAAAGAGTCCAATATTAATACTGAGAATCCGAGTGATAATGTTTGAATCGAATAAAAATGAAAATTGCGATTGAAGAGGAATGGTTAGAGGAAATAGATAGTTGTATTCAAGTTGAGTGAGTGTAGTGGTATTGTTGTTTCTAAGGTAATCTAGCTTCGAAAAAAAATTATGAAGTATGTTTATCGTGGATGGACGAGTGATAGTCTGTGATCCAGCGAGAGAGTGAGATGCTGAGACTAAATTAGAAGCACGGGAAACTGATGCTATTGATTTTATATAAGACGGGAGAGCGACATTCGAAATTGACTGGAAAATTTTTATTTATTTTTAGAAATTGATTATGTATATGGGAGAAATTGCTTGCCTGGTGAATGATGAGGCTCGAGATAATGTGCGCACCAATTTGGCTAGTGTTGAGGAAGACAAAGAGTTTCTATTTATTTCTATTTCTATTTGTATTTTCTTATTGACGAGGAAAACTGTTTTTTCTCTGCCTCCGGTAAGAGGGAGGTCAATAACCTACGGGTTGCATGCGTGTATGAAGTATAAATAAAGAAATAAATAAATAATATTGCAGAATCATGAGGTATCACTCGCCCTATGGGTCTCCGGGAGTGTCTGACTACATAGCTCTCCGCCTGCAGGATGTCGACTATGCAGATACTGCAGGTAGAGATATCAACTATGCAGAAACTGCAGGTAGGTACGTCATAGGATGTCGCATGTATGATGTCGGTTCTGTGTGTCGCATGTGTGTGTCGTATAAACTAAATGTTGGTGGTGTTGGTGATGGTGCTGTTCCTGAGCGTCTCAATGTGGGGCTGATAGACAGATGGCCGCACCGCCCCCCCGCCCCCCCCCCGGGCGCTCCGGTACTACCTGAGTCTCTGCGGCTTACCCCTGAGAATGATACCTGCGGGCAATTGGCGCTAGTGGGCGCGCTAATGCTGCTTAATTATATTCTTCGGAGCGGGCATATGCGGTGAATGCCAGCGACATACATGTGCTAGTAGCTCTGGTACAGAATGGGGATCTTTCTTCCTCGCAGGCTTTGTCGCTTTGGGGGATTTTGTGAGGCATGCATTAGGACCCGTGTTTTTCTTTATTCATTTCTACATAACTGGGGTTATAGTTCTAGTCCTGTAATCTTGGACGAGCCTGCGCTCATTGGGGCTGCACATTAATATACTTGTTCACTAGGATAAATACAGGAGTCGCACTCTGGTACAAAGTTTTCGTAAAGGAACAGTGTGGCGGGGCGATTTGCTTTGGTTGGTAGTCTGGGAATAGGTACCAGACAGAGTGGACGAAAGCGATGGAGGTGGTGAGGTGATCGAGGGTCAAAACCTAGGCTGTTTCGGTGGCTTACAAGGTATATATATATATTAAAAAGGTAACAATGATAAGAAAGCAAAGGCCCTTTTTTAAAAACCTCCCAACCAAGTCCATCACGCGCCCCCTTCGCCCCCTCCCCTTCACCATACTCCACCGCTCCTGTTCCCGCATCCCCATCTCGCCCATCACGACCGCCACCTTTCTCGGCCACTCCAGCATCTCATCCTGCTCCTCCCCCACACCAGTACCAAATTTCCGTTTCCTGCTTCTTCCCCCGGCCATGCCGGACTCCGGCTCAGTCCCTGGCTCGGCCCGCGCCGCCCCCTCAAGTTCCCCCTCCCAGCGCGCCTTGATCCCCTCCTCCTCATCCTCATCCCATATCTCAACCTCCTCCTCCTCGCCCCAGCTCACCTCGTCTTCGCTCCCATCCCTATATGGCAGTACCGATCCGGGATGCACGCGAGAGGGAGGGAGAGGTTTTGATAAAGACAGTGCAGTTTAGAATCTGTGGTGGACTGGTGGTGTGTGCAAATCCAAGATTAGGGGGTGTGGCGGTCCCGGTAGGGCTGCTGATGTTGGGAAGGGCGAAGAGAGGGGGCGAATGTTGCAAGTCGAGGTGTAGAGTGCCTGGCGTTGAGGGGAGGGATTACCAATAATGGGGCTGGTTTCCTTGATTAGAGAGTAGCTGTGTGAGTTCACAGAAAGTAGAGCACTTCAACAGAATGTCCTGCGGCTATTGTTGAGTTTCTCTTCAGCCCCTCTATTCCTCATCTCCATTGTAATTTCTGAAATTGGGGTAATCTGTCTTTATTCTTAGTTCGTCAAATAATTATCTACACTCTGTAATTTACAATACATTCCATCTTACCAGTTTATCAATACAGTCGCACCTCGTTATGTCGTTAGCGTATTCTGGGAGCCAAACCCCTACGAGATAGCAAATATACGAGACAGTAAATAGTTTTTGGTGGAGAAGGGCAGTACCTATCCCGCAAATCCGTACGAGACAGCAAGAGATCCGAGATATCGAATTACGAGATAGCGAGGTGCGACTGTACGCTCCTTACGTATTCATCCTTGTTAATTCGTCACAACTACCAGGAGCCTAGCGGTAATGCGTGGATGGCGCTCCCAAAAACGCCCGCACCCCTTAGCGCCACTCCCCTCCGCCCACAGTGATCCCGCCCACAGTGATCCCGCCCACAGTGATCCCGCCGTGCTCCTCCAAGCTTGGAAAACCATAGCGCATGGAATCACCACTTCAACACATATTGCTCTCTGCATCCGATGCCGAATACAATAGCCACCGGTGTTGGTCCCCGGGCGGTTCTACATATTTGGTGGGCTGCGCTGGCACGAGTAGGCCCGGTGGTACAACCTCCCACCTGAGGACCTCTCCACCTCCAATACATACGTGTAGTAATTAACTTTGCCCTCCCACCCCGTTGACCATAGCCAGCTCCTGCAAATGTGGTAGTGATCCTGTTCATAAGGTATTTCGACTCATGCCACCTCCATTGTACTTAGCCAGCTACAATGCCATCTTCAGTCAATACCAGCTCCAGTAAATGCCACCTCAAATATCCCCGTCCTGTTAATGCTAGTGTCATTAGAGAGTATTTGACAACTGTCAATTTCAGGAATTTACAAATTGTGGGGCTCCAAAATGGGAACCGGAGATGTCAATTTTGAATTTCCGTAGGGCGGCGTGCTGTGAGATATACCAGGAGGACCACAATTACCCAGTTTTGGCACCACCGTAATTAGCATCATGGGTATGAATTTTAAGTCCCGACACCGTATTTCACAAGCTGTTTGATTTCATAACCGCTTATCAGACTCCCCCCAGAACGCTCCAGCTCCCCCCAATGCTTTCTCCTTCTCCCACCTCTTCCACCTCTTCCACCTCTTCCACCTCTTCCACCTCTTCCACATCCATCCAGCTCCCGGTAATCCCAGTGCTCCTAGTACTCCTAGTGCGTGAGCTGTAGAGCTTCTGTTGCTCAGCATTATTTTGGTGGGGCGGGCTGGTTGCCATGCAGAAGTCAGTGAGGGTTAGGGATCACAGCTCTCGACCAATCAGATGCCCAAGCGTTTAGAAAACCCTTAATCCAGTAGGTACTCATCTTGGCAATATTTAATTGCCACTTAAGATTTTGCTTGATAAGCGGCAATTTAGGTTCCGTTTGGATGCACCCCGGTTTATTGTTTGGTTGTCGGTTGAAAATAAGAGACTTTACCTGTAATAGCCTAGTGCCAAAATATTGACAAATCTTTTGGGAGATTTTTGTATTAGAGAGTATTTACCAAGTGTCAAAACCGGCAATTCACACTTCGCCACATTAAAAGGTGGCTGCCGAAATCGTCAATTTTGACCTATTTCTCGAGGTGGGGATATAGGATACGCCTGGAGATGTTTTCTATACTGCGTATAGTTCACATCCTCGGAGCGTATTTCCCAGTAAGCGTGAAGAATTATTTATCTACAGAGTTTCTCCCATCATACCTTCCTTGTGTGAGTCGTACCCAGTCTAGTATTTGTGGTTGCTATGCCAAGACTTTCTGCGAAACTTTTGCGGAGAGTCACGTGACTGCCAAGAGGTTTGGGGCTGGGGTCGAGCTCAGGTCAATTTTAGCGAGGTAGATACGAGTTGGGTGGTAGCTCGGCTTGGCGGTGCCACCCCGTTTCTTCATCGCTTCCCTCCCTCGCTTCCTCACATACCTTCTAACCAGCGCCCTCCGCTTATCACCATGGTTCTAAGCCCTCCCCTCCCCGCTCTTCAGGCAGCTAACATCTTGCAGAGTCCTCCTCTTTCCACTCAGGCCCATAACTACTTCTCCGCAAACAACGCCAAAGATTGGTCGATCCGCGACTATTTCAACCTCAACGCATCCACCCTGAAGGAGCCGGGCGGCTTCGAGTCCCTCGTTCGCACATGGACACGGTCCTTAACTTCATTCGCCACTGATTCGAAGTCATCAACCTCCAAGCGTAACATAGCCAAACAGCTACTGGAGAATTACAAAAAGAAGGTGCGTGAGAACCATTGCCCCCTCCATCATCCTCTGTTGTTCCTGTTCTGGACAAGGCAAGGTTGTCTTTCATTAGTGAACCGAGTCATAAGCCCAGTGTCGGTGCGTTGAATGTGCTTGCGAAAGCCGATCAATGTCAAGGTTACGTCCCAACCCGGCCTGGTCCCACTGGGGCACAGATGGATGATGATGACCTTCGTCGTCCGTCTGCTGTCCACGGCTCCCGCATTTTGCCTTGGCAACGCGGCTGTCGCTACCCGGTGGGGTTGTCCATGCTGATCTCAAGGTGTCTTTAGGGGGATGACTTTCGAGAAGCGAGGATGATGAGGGCGATCCTTACGAGTATGCCTACCGCACAACCGCCCATCGTCGTCCACGGCGATAACGCGTTTAGCAATGCGACCATCGTCAGCGGGGATAACGCATTTGCCAATGGTTCCGTCAATGGCGCCCCTGTCGTCCCTCTGTCGGCTGCCACCCTCATACAGTCTACTCCCACCGTACCCCAAACAAGGCAACCTACCCTCAAACGGAAGAGGAAGACGCCGCAAAACACTTCGTCCCCCCCTCTCCCCCTCCCCCCCGGAGGTGATTCCACCATGTCTAGGTTTTCCCCCGCCTCGGCTAACTGTATATATTTGTTCAATTGTTTGGCGACGCATTCAACAGCGTGCCAACCGATAAAAAATGGCACCTCCCTAGTGGTGTCTGCGTCGAGGATACCCTCTACGAATGTTTCAAGGGCGACAACGAGGAGTCTGCCGCACACTCCTGGGTCGTCGATATCAAAGATAAAAACATCAAGGCCTGCTTTACCCCGGAGGACTGGCAAGTGATCTGCGATGCGATGCCTCCACCGCCAGCCCCGGACAAGACAATGGCCCAGTCGATGTGCAGATACATGGGTGTGAGTTTTGGCGCCTCGCCCTCCTCTTACCTTGCGGGCCTACTGACTGTCCAGATTAAAACTGCGGACCGGCTCCGGGACTATCTTGACAATAACTCGCCGTTTGAACCCAACGAAGCAATTGCGATTACCCCCGACCAGTGCTGCGGGCGGAGATGGGCTGATGGCGTAATTCGAGTCTGGTTTGTCTAGCATATTGCCTGAGTGTTCATCTCTAACATCCGCAGGTCTGATCTCCTTCAAGATCCCACCGTCTTCGTCCGCAAACACAACGAAAACTGGTACACGTGCCGGTTCTGGACAGAAACAATTGATAAATGCCTCTCCACAATTGAGGGGAGCTACATGAGCCGGTACTCTCCTTCCCCTCGCACTTATTTTTTATTCTTCAACACATTGAATATTACCTCTGTCAGATGGTGAGATATTACCTGTGATAATTCACCCCTCCTGGCACACTATTCTTTTGTAGCCATCCCCCATAGAGGATAAAAAGGGTAAGACAATATATCGGGGGGTCCCAGTCCCCGCGGGTCACCTCTTGGTACAGGTAAACTATTTTTCGAAAATTGTACTGTAGGATACTACTCATATATGGACTGTTCTAGGCACAATATTTGTGTATAAATAAGACCTTGATTTCGTCTCTGTATTATAGTCAAGTAAGTCAAGCAAGTCAGTTGAGTAAATTTTTTTTTTAATTCATTAATTGCATGCATTCGCAGATTAAGAGTCAAACTCTTCCGCGTACATATATAATTATTTTCAACACATTGCACCTCCCTTTTTACAATCCATATTCCTTATTATATTAATCTCTATAAAAACACTTCAGTCTATAAAATAAATGCAAGAGAAATGTCTCCGACATCGACCTCTAGCAATGCGATCACAGGGAATCACTCGAAACCAGGCTAGTGATATAAATACCCCTCGGCCCCACTCCAAAGCGTTGAGCCGTCCACCTTCATTATTATCTTAATTCTGTATAGGATTCTTCCATCTGTGGAGGAATTCTCCGGAACAGACCTCCGATAATTCAATCATAGAATATCAATCGAAATCCACCTCGTCTTATAATATCACTCGGCCCCGCTCCCAAGCGCTACATCTCTGGTATACAGTCCACCTTCCTTGTGTCATTGGGCGTGCTTGGGTTCTCCCGTCTGTGGGCGGGTTTGGGGGTGGTGTCCCAGGTGTCCACCTCCGGTGGTATAATCATGGGCAATCACTCGTCATCCCTCTGGTCATATAAATATCCCTCCGCCCCACTCCAAAGCATTCTGTATACAGTCTACCTTCCTTATTATATTGTTTTTGTATAAAACCCTCCCGTCTGTGGAGGGATTAGGGGGAGTGTCTGCTGTCGACCTCCGGGGGCCCAATCATGGGGAATCACTCGATGTCCTGATTGTCACATAATATCCCTCGGCCCTACTTTAACGCATTGCACCTCCTGTATACAATCCGTATTCCTTATTATGTTAATCTCGTATAAAACACTTATAAAATGAGTGCCAGAGAAATGTCTCCGACATCGACCTCTAACAGTGCAATCATGTGGGATCACTCGATATCTGGCTAGTCATATCTGTTGGAATTGTGTTCCGAGCCTAGGAGCAAAGTTCTAATACTCATATAAGTGTCAGTATATATGTGAATATGTAGTCATATATAGACTGTTCTATCCGCATTTATTATTCTTTATTACTATTTATTTCCAACAATACCAATCGGCCCAATTCCCAAGAGAAATGACTCCGGCATCGACCTGCGACAGTTCAATCGCAGGGAATTACTCGACACCTGGTTAGTCATATATATAATAGCATATAGCGTGAATTCAAACCATTACAACTCCGGGATACACTCTATCTTCATTCTTGTGTTGGTTTTGTATAAAACCCTCTCATATGTAAAGACATCGCCCAACCAAGCATGACATGAACGGGACCGCGAATTGCTGTGAAGGTTCAAGATCACACGGAACTACAGAACTAAATACATTAAAGTCATTTTGAGATATCTTTTGAATATTTCTGATGATCATTACTATACTAAGAGGTTCCGAGTATATAGCTGTTAGAGGGTCACCAGGCCTTGATCGATGTCCCTCTCACAACTATACTCGCTATGATAATAAGAAATAGTCAAAAACACCAAAAGAACTCTCCTATTATACATGTATAGCTTCATAGGTATTGCATTGGTGCTCATAATGCCATGCTGTGAGGTGAGGTTGCTTTCCCGGTGATGATCTCTTTCCCGGTAAACACGTTAGTGGTATACGTTCCGCTGGGGGTGATTGCTTGGTGAATTAATTAGTTTCGTTGCTTGAGTCGAGGATTGATCGCACTCCGTTGGAGGTCTTGGCTCGAATGCTTTATCCGCTGCAGATGACTGGCTATCGGGGCAGGGATTCGCTGCGAGTGATCTCATGTGTTTTTGCTTTAGCGAGACCCACATTCATCATCCTTAAGCTCAACCTCAACCGCCGGACATAGACCCTCTATAGCAGCATTTGTGCCCTCAGAAATTACGCCAACACGGATAAATACCCCACCACCGTCATAGCCACTCCTCATCAGAACAGTTTATCCGTATTTCTCGCGATGTCTTTTCATCTACTGTTACTTTCTATAACATTTACTACTAATTAATTCATTCTTATTGGATAGTATTAGTAGTTTTCTATATGTTACCCACCTTCGTGCTGTTAGTAAGAAATACCCCCCCCCCCCAAGAGTCTTAGAACTGATCCTCCGGAAAGGGAGACGGGGGTACGCACCCTATTCTCACCTCGCGAGCCCTCAACCCACGTCGAGATATCATGCTCGCTCAAGGCCACAGGGCATCCAGTCCGCCGCAGTCATATCTGTAGATTACAAAGTCTTGGAAGCGCCGAAAATCTGCTGCCACCTAAAGCCAAATACTTATCCCCTCTGTCTCATTAAAAAGTATATATATATAACCACCTCTTACTCAGTCGGTAAATTAACGATCTGTCCCCGAGTCATCCCGCAACAGCCATGTCTAGATTTCTGAACTCTCCAACTCCTAACACCAATGCTCAGCTTGCATACCAATTCACCAAATGCTCATGCTGTTTTGAAAGGGCAAACCCGCTCCATAAACATAGGAAAGTAAGTATATCTATCATCCACGCAGACATGAATTTCATATATCTAATACCCCAAGGACGCCCAGTCCAGCAAGGAACAATAACCCCCGCGTCTGCTGATGGTATAATTTGAACCATCGCACTTGCCCATGATGAAATCTCAAGCCTCTTCCACTATTTTTGTGGTTACACAGCACGCAGGCCTAGACCCGTTAGAACGTTAGAAATCTCACACACGATCTTGCAAAAGTTGAACGGTGGCCACACTCTTGTTTTTCACAGACCGTGATACACGATAGAGAGTTTAGGCGGTGTTCTGCCCCCGTAAATAAAACTTGATTACTAACCCTAAATTTCCGGCTTAGTCCAATCCGGGTCACAGAGCAGAAAAAAGAGGTGATACAATTTCCCACCAATCAGCTTGCAACTTTTTATGTAGAATTCGAAGACTTTTAGTTTTGTACATAGAAGATAGTAAGACTAGGGGTGCGCATCTTGCACGTAGAATCAAGAATCATGTTAAAAAAAAAAAAAAATCGCGTCCGCGAGCTATTACAGTGGTTTAGAAATATGATTTCGTCAAATGCATCCCAGAAGGACCTTTCGGACCCCCCCCCCCCCCCAAGAAAAAAAACCCCGCTTAATACCCCCCAGCTTCCCCTAAAAAAATTTAGTTGATATCATCTAATTTGTCCCTCATTTGATTTTGTTGGGGTGGGTTGGTCTCGTCCCTGTTCTTCCGGGTCTGAAGTATTGTTGTTGGTGTCGTCATCGGTCCTCGCAGATCTGGGTATGTAGGGATCCGTGGGGTCCGAGGAATCGTTCATCAGAAGGTCTCGTAGCTCGCTGGAAGTGAGAGAAGTCGGAGGATCCAACGTTTCCTTCCCAGATTTCAATACACACTGGGCGTTTTCGTCAGCATACGTGTGAGTTGATAAAGGGCGGGAATATTAACCCTGAGCCGCCACAAAAAGGTCAGCAGCTTGAAATATTGGGTGGTATTTTCAAAGTTATTAGGGATCTCGCGCACTTGGTCGCCAACCAAGAGGCAAATGGACCCCTTTGCGTGTGACATACGCCAATTTTGGCAGTGCCGCCCTGTGTTGATGATCGATGATCGTCAGGGAAGCAGCCCACGGAGGCATGGATCCGGATAGTAACGAAACTTACCTGCTGTGACTATCCCGAGAACCTGTAGCACACCCGTACCTTTTGACCCGACTACGCCGCTAGACGGCTGCAACCTATACAACATGTCATGGAGTACCTTCACAACCTTTAGTGTATCATGAACCCACTTGCGGTCACTGGTAGATGAGAACTTCTTCCCATGCTCGGACGCGCCAAATTCGCGATCATTGATAGAAAGCACTCCATCCTAAAGGTGTCCGACAACCTTGCGTTTCTTGCGGTGTATATCATACGAGTCCCTCCTATCACAGGTACCCTGAGACTTCGACTCACCCCTAGTTATTTGTTAGATTATTTATTCAGTTTCAAACCGGGAGGGGGGAGGACGTACCGACTCATATAGGAACCAGGGATTGTTTCCATGCATTGGTTATAAATAGGCTCCCATAACTTGGAGATATACCAGGACTCTTGGTGGTTCCTGTTGAAACTTGAACGAGATAGCAGTTCGCACCAGGCGCGCATCGAATCCCTAAGCCATATATTTCCCTCGCGCTCGTCGGCGATGAGACGGTCACGCTCTCCGGGCGCAAAGAGCGGAGTATCGTGTATATGGGCAACAAGTCGATCCGGGCCGTCGAGTCTCTCATCCCGGTATGCTGTAATGGAATCCAGAAACCAAGCGTCCGCCACTGGTAGCGCTTGGATCAGCGCAGAAATGATCCTCCATTGTGAAGGCTTGAAACACTCCTTGACTAGTCGGTCGGATGTCATGAATGAGCCGCGCATTCGACCGTGTGATTATGAAAGTTTCGGTATAGTATATCCTCCACAAAATCAGCCTCCGTGAAGTCGTCAGCTGGGAGACGCCATTTCTTGGAACTATCCATATTCTTCCAAGCGCGCTTGAAATCCAGGAGATAGCCAGATGGTGGAGTGTCCTCTGTCTTCTTTGTGTTCCGGATGGCCGAAGGGTGGCGACGTTTGGGAGGACGGGCAAGTGGTTCGGGCGGCGCGCCGATAGAATTATTATTGAAGCTGACTTTGTGGTTGCCCTGAATGTACAATGGAGGTTCCAGAGGAGGAGGAGGAGGAGGGCGAGGGGGCTATTGTCCTAGCAACGAGACCGTCTTCACCCTAAGAAATATCAGCGCAGTTGCACGGCCCACCGCGGGCCCAAGGGACGCGACAGCCAACTGTGCCCCGGTGGGGAGAGGTTATGTGATCACCTAGGCCCAGACACCACCCCGGGTCGGCTCTATGAGCACACACATGGAAGGACAACCAGCCTTGAACAACAGAACGACCACTCAGGCCATCGGTGCTCCAGTGATACCCCACCGGATCAGCTGGAGGGTTCCAATGTGCGCGGATTCATAGACCTTGAACAACTGACAGACCACGCAGGCCACCAGTGCCGCGGGGTGGTGAGAGGCCAGACAGACAATACGCCGAGCGTGGGTGATCTAGCTACTGGGTCGCGCTGCGTCTGTGCAAATGTTCTGAGCGCAACTGTCTGCCTAATGATCCGGTGAGGTATCGCCGGATCGGCAAAAGTGCCTCGACATGACGAGGTGCAAGCCGCCTTTCAACAAGAGATCACCCGCCGGTGGCCTAGTTCAGATCAGGGGACTTGTGGAACACACCTTAAACTTGTTTAACTGCTTCTTTGCTGCTTCCCGATCAGATAAACACCTCCCATCGTCATTCGCGACCGACCTTAAACCCTGTACCCACGTATTCATCAGATAATCCCTATCGTGCTCCTCAAGGACTTTCGCGTTGTCGGGGTATCGAAAAAATCCTTCTACATTCCATCGACTCTGATTTGTGACGTTGAAATAGTGGTCAACATGTTGGGCCATTAGGTGGAGAAAAGAAAAAGGGGGAGATAGTGGGGGGGAGAATGGGGGGGAGAATGGGGGGGAGAATGGGGGGTGAAGGGGGGGGGTGGTGGTGGTTGCGGTGTGGTTCCGTGGTTGCGTACGGACACAAGCGAGTCAAATGGGGACAGGGGAACGCGGGCTTTTGCCAAGCTCTTCTTTCTTATCTGGTTGCCAAGACCCTGACTCATACCGTTGAAATCGCCAGAACTGATAAGCGGCTTATCTTATCAGATTCTGATTATTTTCGCTACACCGGGTACAATTACAGTCGTCTCTGAGTCAACAACTGTAGGGCTGCTCTCGGGTTTCCAGGTATAAAAGCAGTTGCTACTGTTCCACTTTTCTCAGTCTTCGCACTTTTTACATACCAAAACAGACATTTTCAATGGCTAATAACCTTCGAACCAGATAAGATATCAAAGGTATCTTCCGATAGAATTGGATTGTTCTTTGTATCTTTACCTATAATGCTATCGGAGAAGATTCTCAATATCATATTTTCAATATCATATTTTCTTGAAAGGTTTTTAGCCATTTCAGGGTCACCGCGTTCCATGTGTACTTTGCGGAAATCTAGATGTTAATATACTAATCCCTTCACCCACTACACCAGAATTACGCTAATACAAACCGACATCACCAACATGTCTGAAGATGTAGCCTATTGGAGTCGGAGTGACGGTGACTATCCGGGACTGACCACTTGTAAAAATATGGCATTGCGACATCGGTTATGTATGGTAATTACTCATGTATAAGGGATGACTCATAGTTGGAATAAGGAGGCTTAGCGCTAGGATTATGTAATCAGGGGATCACGTGGTACTAAGAATTATCTGTATATAAGGAGTAAGAAACTCCCATAGTTGTCGCTGGAACTCAGCGGCGCAATAGTATCTTCTTTGCACTATAAACATATTCCTCACAAAGGTCACGTGTTCAAACCCTCCTCAAGTCGTCTATTCTCCCACACTCCAATTCACAGGTTATGAGCCCGGGTTCTGCCAAATAGAATCCGCACTACACCATCGCCACCTCGCTTAACTCAACAACACTTCATACAACATCATGCCTTCAGAAGGAGAATCGTCATCCAAGGCTGCTGAGATCAAACCCTCAGAGACAACAGCTACCAGTAACATTCGTCTCAAGTTTGATGGACTCCCTAAATTACAAGGGCAATCCAACTATCAAACTTGGGCGAGTGCCTGGAGGATAACATTCGACGCTGTAGACTGGTGGGAAGCGTTGAGCATCGAGAACCCTGACGAGAATGACACCGAACTCAGCAAAACCGAGATAAAGAAGGCTCGCAAACAAATGCACAGTCTTCTCATCTCTGCTGTATGCGAAGAAATACAACCAACAGTCGTCTCCGCCGAAAATGCATTCTACGCATGGAAGGCGCTCAAAGACCTCTACGATCGTGTCTCACCCAACACCACGATCACCCTCCTCAGCCGCGTCCTAGACACGAAGATGCAAGAAGGCGGATCACTGACCGAGCATCTCGCGACCTTCGATGCGAACTGGAATACTCTCAAGTCCAGATGCCAAAGCGCAGACCACAAACTCGCTCAGGCTCTTCTACCCCTCACCAAATCCAACGAAGCCATGGCGGCATTCCTCCTAAGTTCGCTACCAAAATCGATGAGCAACGTCGTCGATAACATCCAGACCAAACAGGATGTTACCTACGAAGACGTACGCCAACGACTACAGAACCTGGACGAGGTAGCCCCTCAAACAGGGAACAAAGTACTCCATACCAGGAGTACCACAAGCGACAAGGAATGCACCTGGTGCAAGAAAAGGGGGCAGCCTTACAAAGGCCACGAGTACACGGAGTGCAGAAAGCTCAAAGAACAGAACAAGAACAGGAAAGGAAGGAGAAAGGACAACTCGGCATCGGTTGTAGTAAATGACTCTACAACCACTATCTGTATGGTACGCCACGACATCTCCCAACCCCTTACTTGGATCCTTGATTCTGGAGCGACCTCTCACGTCACACCCTTCCAAGACCAACTCATCAACATCCGACCTCACACCGGCAATGTCCGAACAGCTGATGGAACCAACCACGCTGTCACCGGAATGGGAAGCGCTAGTTTCAGCTGCCACCTTCCCGATGGAAGTAGATCTTCCATACTCCTCACCGATGTGCTGTTGGTCCCAACCTTGGGAAATGTGGGATTGGTCTCAGAAACCGTGCTCGACAAAAAGGGATTTAGAACGGAGTCAGGAGGAGGAAGCAAGTTGGTTACAAAAGAAAAGAAAGGAATAATTTGGGCAAAATTGGAGAAGGGACTTTGGAATGTACAAGTAGTTAGCAATACAGTTCGTTTGACCTCTTACGATGAATGGCATCAAGCGTTAGGCCACCCTGCGACACTAGAAAACTTGTATCACGACATTCAAAGGCTGCCTCCCAAACCAGAAAGTTTCCACTGCAGTCAATGTGCACTATCAAAAAGCGTACACAAGAAACCTGCACCAATTAGTACTAGATCCAAACGACCATTCGAACTAATCCACTCAGACCTATCTGGAAAGTTCAGTATACAGTCACAAGGGAAAGCTCAGTACTATATGTCCTTCATCGATGATTACACCCGCTTCGCATGGATATATCTCCTGAAACAGAAAGAAGACGCAAAGAAGGCCATCAAGGACTACGTTACAAGGATCGAAAAACAGTATAGCACAACAATACTGAGATTCAGAACGGATGGTGGTGGTGAATACATCAACAAGGACATAACGAACTACTTCGATTCACAAGGAATAGTTCATGAACAGACTCCCCCATACACTCCTGAATCTAATGGAGTTGCAGAACGATTCAACAGGACGGTAACCACAATGGTCAGGTGCATGATCATGGACCATCCTAAGTCGTTATGGGGAGAAGCATACGCAACAGCTGTCTACCTTAAAAACAGGCTACCTCACAGTACGCTTAAGGGAAAAACCCCCTTTGAAGCCCTGAAAGGAACTAAGCCAAGTATACAACACCTTCAACCATTCGGCAAAAAATGCTATGTCCACATCCCAGAAAACTCTAGGCCAGCAGGAAGCAAACTAGCACCCCGAGCGTATGAAGGAATCATAGTTGGATACTCAGACAGTGATAAAATATACCGTATCTGGATAGGAACACAACATAGGGTAATTGAAAGTCGGGACGTCACATTCCCCCCTCCTGAATCAGGGGAAGTCTCAGTGGAACTCGACTTCATCCCCAGCCTGAAACCAGAAACGGCAAATGCACCATCAGACGACGGATACGAATCAGAAGACAGGTCTGATCCAGAACCCGAGTCAAATGCAATCGAAGAGAACCGTACAGAAATGCCAGGATTGTTCCCGGAATCACCGGAACTGGTTAGAAAACCACCACCGGCTACACCAGACAAGGGAAAACAACCTGCCGTACCTATGGGACAACCGCGAGACCCAAGAGACAACTGGGAGAAAATTCCAGCACCAGTCGTACCATTCAAAGGCTTCAAAGGAAAACCACTTGCGTCAACGACACCCAAAGGTACACCACCACAACCTCCAAAACGATCAGATCGAATACGCCAGCGAAAAAATAGAGAAATTGAAATGGAAGTACGAAGGAAAGAGTATGATGAGAAGGTAGTAGAACAACAGAAGTTACTTACGAGTTATATCGAAGATGTGAAAGAACATGGCCCAGGAGACAAAGCCACTGAACAAGAATTAATCGATCAATTCAAAGAAGACTTCAGACGTTATCGGGCTGAGTTAGACTTGGAATATCAAGACATATCCAAACTCCCCCCGAACTACCAAATATACCTCGTAACAGAACCTTCCACCTTCAATCAAGCTATGCAGAGCGACGATCAACACCTATGGAAAAAGGCGATACAGACTGAGAAAGACGCCCTTGACAAAGCCCATACCTGGGATATTGTCAACAGACCATCCAACCGAGCAGTAGTCAAAGGAAAATGGGTATTCAAAGTGAAACACAACGCGGACGGAACAATCGAGCGGTACAAAGCAAGGTACGTTGCTAAAGGCTTCACCCAAGTACAGTACCAAGACTACGATGAGACCTTCGCCCCCGTTGCACGATATGATTCTCTACGACTCCTACTGGCACTAGCTGCACACAACGGTTGGATACCACAACAAATGGACGTCAAGTCAGCCTTCCTGTATGGTGTACTCAAGGAGGAAATCTACATGGAACTGCCTGAAGGCTACAGGCAGGACAACAAGGTTTGTAAACTTCGAAAATGCATATACGGACTAAAGCAATCACCCCGTGAATGGTATGCTTGCCTAGCAGACTCCCTTCAACGGAAAGGATTCGTCCCAGCCAAATTCGACCCATGTGTCTTCATACATAAGAACCACCATCTATACATATCGGTGTATGTAGATGACATTATGATATTCGGACCCGACTCCCCATTCAGAAAAGAAATCAGACAACTACTCAAGGCAGATTTCGAATGTACGGATCTCGGTAACTCGAAGTTCATACTGGGAATAGAAATAACGGTAACCAACAACGGTATCACACTATCACAACGCGCATACATCAACAAGATCCTGGATAAATTTGGAATGAGTAACTGCAAACCAGTTGGCACACCACTCGAACCGAACCTCAACCTCCACAAAGGTGAACCGGAAGACCAAATCGAGAAACCAACTGAGTACCAATCCATAATAGGATCACTGATGTACGCGAGTATAGCTACCAGACCTGATATCACCCATGCCGTTACCGCTCTCTCCCAGTACTCCTCATGTCCAACCGAGGACCACCTACGAGCAGCCAAGCGAACTCTCCGTTACCTCAACGGAACCAAAGACTGGAACCTGTTCTACCCGAAGGGGAATACTAGAACACTCGACGGATTCTCAGACAGTTCCTACGCTTCAGACCTAGATGACAGAAAATCGTTCTCAGGATACGTGTTCAGACTAGGGAAGTCAGCCATCAGCTGGAGAAGCCGGAAGCAGAAATCAGTCGCAGTCTCAACAACAGAAGCCGAATACATGGCCCTGTCTCTCGCAGCTCGACAACTGGTATGGATTCGTAATGCCTTGCTCGAACTCCAACAACAATACCAGTACTTCATCCACGCCGACAACACAGGTTCTATTGAACTCTGTCGGAACCCACGCATCCACGACCGGTCCAAGCACATCGACGTTCACTACCACTACACACGTGAACAACTCGAAGCCGGAACCTTCGAAATCCTCTACGTCCCTACCGAAGACAATGTCGCGGACATAATGACCAAAGGACTACCAAAACCAGCTCACCAAAAATTGTCAGAATTGATACGATGTGGCAAGTGAGGGGAAGTGTAAAAATATGGCATTGCGACATCGGTTATGTATGGTAATTACTCATGTATAAGGGATGACTCATAGTTGGAATAAGGAGGCTTAGCGCTAGGATTATGTAATCAGGGGATCACGTGGTACTAAGAATTATCTGTATATAAGGAGTAAGAAACTCCCATAGTTGTCGCTGGAACTCAGCGGCGCAATAGTATCTTCTTTGCACTATAAACATATTCCTCACAAAGGTCACGTGTTCAAACCCTCCTCAAGTCGTCTATTCTCCCACACTCCAATTCACACCACTAACTATGGAGCTAGGACAACTAACTTAGATGGTCTGTATTATCGGATTGTAGCTTGGTGTGCTGCCATGCAGATATCTACAGCCCTCTAGATATCGATATATCTACTCTACAAGCCTATATAGAAATCTACAGTCCCAAATTGATATGTACAGATATCTGTGGTCCTAGCATTGACCGCCAGTCTGCAAGGCTCAATAATCTCTCAACACACAATTTTCGAATATCAGCCCAATACGTTAATAATAGAGAGGTTTCGCATCAAAAAATTTTAAATTTGGGTAGGGTTGCCAAATACAGAAAGGAAGTGTGGTATGAGCCTGATTTTTTTGATTTGATAGGTGTATTGGCGACCAGTGGAGACTTTTTAAACTGCGGGTTGGGGTTTGTAGTTACAGAAGCCTTGTGTAACGGAGCCATTTCAACTGTCTGGTGTATGAGTACACACAAGGCCCGGTTACATGCTGAGAGTTATTGTTAGAAGCCAGTTGCGCAGTGATATGCAAGTACCGGCAGTGTGGTTAGCTACCAGCTGTTAGAGCAACTATATTCCGGGCGCTGGGAAGAGGATCTATTCATGGGAGCAAGGACTGACGAGTCTATGCCTCGCCAGTGACTAGAAGACCGGCCAGAGTGAAGCTCTGATTGCCCGGTGATCCTCTGTATCCTCTGAGCATTGTGAGTCCGCCGAAGTACAGGGACTATGCTAGGGAAGTCTACAATAAGCGAAAGCTCTACAGCAATTCTTAAGCTTACACCTGAGCAGCAGCTCATTCATGTAGGCCCTCGGTTGTGTGGCGACCAAGGCTGCAGGTGTTACAAAAGCTTTGACTAAGGGTGGTTGCCTTGGGTATCAGAAACACCTGCTGACGCTTAGAGAAAAGCGGGGTAGCGGTGGTATTGTTTCTGGTACCGAGGAAAGGCTTCACCGGAACTTAGTAAGGAGGGAGAAGCAGAGAATAGAGGCCTTCGGAGTATAAGTACTTAGGTTCATTCTCGCCCTTCAGTCCTGTTTTGTCCAGTCTTCATCAAAAAGAAATATCAAGTTCTTATCGGTACCAGAGCCCTTAAAGATTATTGAGTACTAGCGATAGTATCTTTGCATAATCTGCAACCTGATTGTCTATCTTGCACGGCCATCTCTATTCTATCCGATTCTATTTCTCTTAGAAAGGACCCCCGTTACAGAACGTTCCCAAGTCTAGAAAATTATAACTTTAAAGAGTCTTCTCTCTATTAAAGATCCATTGATGATGAGAGGCCAACCTGGGGCAAAACCGAGTGCCTCATAGGAATATGGCACATTTGCTCAAGTTCTTTTTCCGACTGACAATCTGCCTGTTGATAGTCGGGGGTACAGCAACTATTTTTTATCAAGGGAGAGGAGAGTAACTACGACACCTTGAATGAACATCTGTCCAAGTCAAATCATGCAATTTGCTGAAAGCTGTGGTCGGAATGTTAAGAACTATTGGAAACAACCGATCAGATAATAATTGTTTATTTTAACTTTATTAGAACCGATTTGAGTGTTTGTAAACCGAAGTTTTGCTTTAGTAGCTTAAGTCGCACTCCCACTCCCCAAAGATACTCTGGAGCAAAACAGGAGCATTCCGGCAGTTTGACACTCCGGAGGTTAGTGTTGGGGATTAAAACGTATTTTTTGAATTAGATTTTCCATTAGCTCCGGGACACTGCCAGAATCATTTCTATCGTGCTAAAGCATCATCTTTGAGCGTCGGTTGCAGAGATATGAAACCTCAAAGATTCGACTGCATAGGTAGGGAACTCCTGTCCTGGGTTCCCTGTGCTATCAGCCATCTTTGTACTTCTGTTCCAAGCTTGCTCAGCCCCCTATTTTTGACTTGTAAGACTTCTTACTCATTGAGATCCCTGTCCTCTATACGAATAAAGGTACGAGCCCAACTGCTCTTGTCTTCACATGTCAATGAAGAACAAACTGCTGTTACTTAAGGTCGGTGGCTTAACTGATGGAATAGGTTCTTTTGTAACAGCCTCATAGTGGCACTGTTACATTACTCCCCTCTATGGTAGACTCATATTGAGTCCACTGTAGTGTTACTGGAATATTAGTATTTGGCATAGAAGAAAAACAGTAGCTCTATTGGTGATTACGTACAAACTACATGTCTGTTTCTATCTCCATCAGAGAAAGAAATCTCTAAAATGAAATGCCTTTTAAAACAAAGAAAATGACATATTCTCCACTCTTGTCGTAGAACCTTCCGTTCCACTAGTGGAGATTTCGATGTTAGCAAGAATCTCTCTTTTTCCCTTGTCTTTTTTATGCGGGTTTCCTCACGCTTCGGTTTTCTATCGTTTCTTACATTGTTTTCAGGGAAAAATGGTATCCGAACTCTGTCAGACAGATGAAAAACCTGGGACAGGAGAGTTGGTTTTTGTTCCCAGATTTGTTCTGAGATACAGAGCTACTTACACCGTGTTTTGAGGATCCCTAAAGTTTCACCGTATTTTCCGAGATTTTTGCGGGTATTTTTGATGAGATTCTTTCAGGGGCTCATCGGCTCTTCCTTGCAGAATTTCGTCTGGTTCTCAGGAGTCTTCCGAACGATAGCCCTCCCAAACAATGCGATACTCTACAAACATTTTCTAATGCCCAGCCTGTTGCCATCGGCTATTAGCTATTTCTTGGAGAACGTGACTGTATTCTCCTTCGACCTCATCTGGAGTAGGAGTGACTTCAGTGCTTTGAGGGTATTTCAGTCCCCGATAGGACTCCAGCAGAAATATTTGGAAGTCATAATGAATGTTCCATTGAGAGGGAAGCTTCAGCCTGTAGAACGCAACAACAAGTTTCTCATCAACCTCAAAGAGACATAGTGTCTTGTAGTCAAGCTTGCTTGAGGGTGTATTGGCAACCATATTGCGTCGGTCCATCATCACTTTATCCCCATCTTCAGGTTCTGGAGCTTTCATATGCTTCTGGTCATACCATTTCTTCTGCCGGGTCTGTGCCTTAAAAGTATCAAGTCCTCATAGTTTTCCAAAGAGCTTTCCAATTCAACTTTAGTACGGCGCTGGAAACGTTGACATTGTCCAGCTTCCTTCTGCGCGAATTCCAATTGGAATCAGGCTCGAACCCATAGTTCGCATAGGACTGAGATACTTTAGTTGACTGTTGGGTTGCCGTGTTGTAGGCATACTCTGCAAGCGGGAGTAACCCTGCCCAATTGTCCTGCTGGTAGGAGCAATAGTTTCTTAAATATTGCTCCAGCATTTGATTGACCCTCTCAGTTTGCCCGTCAGCTTGAGGACGATATGCCGTAGACAGACAGAGGTTGACTCCGAGAAGCTTCATCAATGAATACCAGAACTTGCTTTCCAATCTAAAGTCCCGATCAGAAACGATTTTTTTGGATAGTCCATATAGTCGTTATATTTCTTGAAGGAATATATGCGAAAGTTCCTTGATTGTTGCCTCGGTCTTGAGAGGTATGAAGTAGGTGATTTTTGTAAAGCGTTCAACAATAAACGCGATACGGGTATAGGCTTCAGATTCTGGCAAACTAACGAAAAAGTCCATAGAAATGGAGTTGCAAGGAGTATTGGGGACCTCTAAATGTGGTAGCATCCTGTACTTTTCATGACTGGAGCTTTTATTGCTTTGACATGTATCGCAACCCCATACGTATTCTCCCATATCATTGTCCATCTTTGGGCAAAAGAACAGTGACCGAAGACGTTCTGCAGTTTTGAATTGACCAAAGTGGCTTCCTGGCTTCGAATCATGTAGGGCGCTCATGATTTTTGGTTTGAGCTCTCGGTGATTTGGGATGTAGCATCTTTTCTTCTAAAAGACATCTCTAGTAGTGGAATGTCGGACAGGATTTTCAGGTTGCCCGGGAACCGTCGCCCCACAATTCCGGGCTCCGTGGCTATGGGTCAAACAGGACCACCCGAGTGCATTCCCATCATCAGGTATGCGCGTACAGGGGGTCGTGATCGTGATTGCGGGGGCGGAGGTGGTGGTTGAGGGCCGTTGAGTAGGGTAACTCACTGTGAGTCTTGGCGACCCGTCCTGGTTCACTCCCGGCACCGCCACTCACCGGGCGGGTACAACGATCGATGACTGCATGGCACCGAACGCACCGTCTCGAGCCCAAGATCATGACGGCGCATGAAATTCAATGATGCCGCGTTTCCCCATGCTCTGCTTCGATGGAATACATAAATTTCGGATTCCGAACTGCGGGTTACCGCGTCGGGCGAATCCCACTTCTTGTCTCCGCTGTGTCTTCTTACGCCAACTCGGATTCTGACCTCCAGGTTACCGCCCGGTGTGTTTTCTAACACTAAATCGGATTTCAATCCCAAACAACGCTATGTGCAATACCTGCAACCCAATATGTGAGTGACGATCCATGACCGACATTCCATATTGTGTATTGTCGCAGTCTCTAGTAGTGGAATGTCGGACAGGATTTTCAGGTTGCCCGGGAACCGTCGCCCCACAATTCCGGGCTCCGTGGCTATGGGTCAAACAGGACCACCCGAGTCCATTCCCATCATCAGGTATGCGCGTACAGGGGGTCGTGGTCGTGATTGCGGGGGCGGAGGTGGTGGTTGGGGGCCGTTGAGTAGGGTAACTCACTGTGAGTCTTGGCGACCCGTCCTGGTTCACCTCATCACCGACACTCACAACAATCGACAACTGCATCGTACCGAGCGTGCCTTCTCTATGTGTAACGGCAACTATGTATTTCTGGCTAGGTGATAAACTGGAACGAGGGAAGGAGGTATTGTGCAGTGGAATTAGGATTTGTAATAGAGATTTCTGTTATGTTCTTTTGGTTTCTGTTACGCGAAGGTATTAGTCATCGTTGGATTATGGATGGATATATAAGGGGGCGTTGTCTCGTGTTTTTGTCTGTTTTCCTTCTTCTCTTCTTTCCTTACGCAACCTCTGTATTCTACTTGCTCGCTAAGGCTCGCAAAGAACTCCCTGATAGTTAAACCTCGCTTCAAAAACTTCTTATTTTTATTCCTCTCGGTTTACCCTGGTATACCATACCAGGTTGAGCCACTTCGTCCCCGATCGTACGGTCGCGTTTTGTTGTTCCAAGCGAAAGAAACACCAAGAAAACTGGCTTCTAGCGAAGAATTCTCCAGCCTTGACCTTCCAAAGGGAAGGAAAAGAAACCTCTCCGAAACATCACTCTACGCCGCCAGAAGAACTGGACATTCAATTATGTCGCAACAAGCCTCGCTCCAGTCCTTTTTCACCCAGTCTTCCCAGCAAGGGACAGCCCCTCCGCAGAACAGGAATACTCCGGTTCCCGATCCAACCCCATCCGGAGCTCAGGAACAAGAATTCTCCTCGACCTTTGCAACACAATCCGACTACAACGACCCATACCAACCGAGAATTGACTACCTCTACCCAAGCATCGTTCCTCTGGACACTCACACCCAGACGGACCTGAACTACATTACCTGGGCCATTAGACATGCCACCAGCCGAATCTGCCCACCCACTGACAGGATGGAAATTATCGAAGAGCAAACGACTACACTCCGGAGAACAGTGGACACATTGAGGCACCAAATCGAGGCACAAACAAATATGATCACCAGCATGCACTCGGCGATCCATCTTCTCCTCAACAAACAACCACAACCGCAACCACAGCAACCACAACAAAACCAACAACAGCAACAGCAGCAACAACAGCGAAAACCATAACAACCGCAGGGACAGAGAATGCCCCCTCCAGCGGTCCCCCAAACAGTCCCCCAAGCAGCGCCTCAGGCAGCTCCTCAGGCCCCCCCTCCTGCACCCCCCCAACAAGCCCCCCCCCGTGGATGGAAAGCAGGCACCTGGGCCGCCGTGGCCTCGGCTCCCGGCCCTGCTCAAGGAAATTTCCAGGTTGTAGAGAGAAGAAAGAAGTCCGCAAAGCCAAAAGCGGACCCTCTCTTCAAGCCAGAATATACCAAAATCAACAGAGAAATCATTGTTGAAACCACTGCCCCATCCGACGTCAATCCCTCCGAGATCAGGACCCTAGTTAATGCAAGAATTCAAGACGAATCCTGCCACTTTATTTCAGCAAGGAGAACACCCAAGGACAACTTTATCCTGGAAACAAAGTTTGTAACCCCAGCAACAAAGGCAATGGAGTATGCCAAAGAAATTGAGGAGGCTCTCCTCACCCTACAAGTACCAGTCGCCACCATTCGGGCAAACTCCAAATGGTTAAAGTTCCTTATTCACGGAATCCCTACAACGGTCGGAGAAGGCGTCGAGGCAGGACAACTGGTAGCATCCGAAATTAGAAGCAATTATGGAGATAACTTCCAACTTGCCCAAGTTCCCCGCTGGATCTCCAGAGCAGAGACCCGAATGGAGAAAACCCACTCATCAATGGTCATCGCGCTCCCAGGACAAGTCACAATGGAAACACTAGGAGTTAAGTTCCTATCCCTTTTTAACCGAAGCTGCCACATCGAGGCCTTCCTCCCAACCTTCCCAGACACCCAATGTGCGAAGTGCCTCGAATACGGTCACCGCCAGGAGAAATGCAAAAACAGTGGGAGATGCGGTCATTGTGCCGGAGATCATCTCACCAGCTTCCACCCATGCAATCAATGCCAGGGAGGATACAGATGCACCCACACCCCAATCAGATGTCTGAACTGTAAAGGAATCCATAAGGCCTCCGACCCAGCATGCCCCGAAAGAGTCAAACGCCGATTCCTTAATAAAGGAAAGGAAAACGCCCCACCCGCTCAAGACCCACCGGCCGCACCTGTCCAAGAGTCGATAGTCCAAGTACCAGCACCGCCCCAGTTGGAGCCACACCCGTTCCCGAAGATGACCAACCCATGACAAATAATGCTTAGGCCTCGAACCACCGCGCTCGCACACCAACTCAATTGTGCACGGAGCGAACTTATTACCAAGGCGGCGGTAGAAGAAGCGGAAACAGACTCTAGTATTTATTTCCTATTATTACAAGAACCATGGACCTCAGCAGAGGGATACCCACCAGAATCAAATCTCTTTTACATTTTTACAGCCAGCAATACCAATACAAAATGCGCAACATACGTCCGCAAACATGCCAACCTCAAACCAAAGCACCACTACACGCACGATAATTTCATAGTGTCGATTACGGTAGAAATCCAGAATAAGAAAACCCAAATCCTAAACATATACTCCCCAGGCCGAAGTGGCCCCTTCGCCCAAATAGCAAGTACAATCCAAACCCTTGACAATTGCCTAGTAATGGGAGACTTCAACTGCCACCATCAAATGTGGTACGGAGTAAATTCACATGAATACAGAAACAATATTCGAGCAGACCGCGTCAACGGTGCACGATTAAAACGATGGATAACCCGACAGAAACTGTCCCTCCTGAACGAACCAGGCGTCTTTACTCATTTCCCCAGAGACAGAGGGAAAAGGCCCACAACCATCGACCTTACATTTGTAAAAGGCCCAATACTCGATCACAACCTACGATGGAGCACTGAACCCTACGGAGCGGGCTCAGACCATGGGAGAACCTCCGTTCATTTACACCTGGAGAAACCACCTTTTGTACCAAGACGAATATGGCGACAAACAGACTGGAAGCTATTGGAAAACCACATGTCAAACATTTCCATCCCTGCAGAGGCATGGGAAACCAAGGAACTTACGGAACAGACTGTTGAGTTCTTTCTAGAACTGGTCAGGTCAACAGTCAGCATAGTAACACCGCTCTCGAAGGAAGGGGTAAGAGCCAACTCCTGGTGGTCAGATGAAATGAAACAAATGAAGGCAAGGGTAAATGCAGCAGAAAGGAAGGCGAGGAACACAAGGAAACCCAATCACGTGGAGGAACACCGGAAGGCTTGCAGAGAATGGACAGTCATGATCCGGAAAGCAAAAGCGGATCAGCGGGAAAAGACGATGAACGAAGCGAAAGGTAGTGAAGTCTGGAGAATCCTAAACGTAGGAAGAAGAAGAGACACAATCATACCAACCATACAAGGTGAAGAAACATTTGCGGGGAAGTGTCAAGCTCTAAGAGCCCAACTTTTCCCCTCGAAACGGACGTCCCCCGACCACCCCCCCCTAAACATTAGACCCCCTTCTTTTGACCTTAGCAACACCTTCGACATAGTCACCCCCGAAGAACTTAATAAAGCTATCGACTCCTGTCCAGCGCACTCGGCGACCGGCCCGGATGGCATTCCTTACACCTTTATTAAAGCAATAGTCAAAGCAAACACAACTCTAATCCAAGACATGTTCTCCGCCATGCTCCGGCACGGCGTACACCCAGCGGAATGGAAAATAGCTAAGTGTATCCCGATTCCGAAACCCGGTAAAGCAAACTATCATGAAGCAAAAGCCTACCGGCCCATTTCCCTTCTACAATGTTTCAGCAAAATCCTGGAGAAGATAGTGGCCCAAAGACTCTGCACCGCTGGAGAAATTCTAGGCACACTCTCAGCGAATCAATTTGGAGGAAGACCAACCATCTCGGCAATCGACGCCCTGCTGAGAACCTTAACGCCAATACAACAAAACCTACTACTGAAAAACAGTACCGGAGTCGCTCGGCGAGACAGACCAGC